TAACTTAAAATACCATTCGTCTTCATCTTGAAAAACATAGATTAATAAATGATTCACAACATGGTTTTACTAATGGCCGTTCATGTTTAACAAATTAGCTATCATTTTATTCGAGCAGAGTTGAGGCAGTAGATAGTGGTAAGCATTCTCACAATCTACTTGAGAATGGTCCAGGACGGACCGAAACGTCATCGTCCCTTCACCTTCTAGTGTGTGGTTTGGTCAACATATTTCAGGGCCTATGGGCCCATACGAGACAGCTCCTATTTATAACCACCCAATCCCACTCATATACATGTCCAACCCACATTTGAAACAATCAAGGGACCCCACCTCCACCACGTTACGCGGTAATTGGTTCCACAAATCAACAACCCTGTTACCGAACCAGTATTTACCCGGGTCCTTCCTAAATCTAAATTTATCTAATTTATACTCATTGTTTCGTGTTCTTGTGTTGATACTTTTAATACCCTATAAATATCCCCTTTGTTATGCCCTTTCATCCACTTATAAGCCTCTATCATGTCACCCATGGTTCTTCGCCTTTCTAGAGAATGTAATTTAAGAACACAAAAACATAAGAATAAGAGTCTCAATAGAGGCTCACGGTATTGGGGGAGGGGCTATATTAAAATGAATTAGGGCATGGCTATACCAAAAGAAACAAAGAGTTAGTATAAATGGAATTAAGTCAGAGTGTGGAAAATGTTGTAAGTGGAGTCCCTCAAGATTCTGTCCTGGGACCTCTGTTATTCATAATATATATGAATGATTTAGATTCAGGATTGAGCAGCAATATTTGCAAATTTGCCGAAGATACGAAAATAGAGAGGGAAATAAACACTGAAAAAGACTCACTATCACTTCAAGACAATCTAAATAGGGTTTTGAAATGGTCAAAAATTGGAAGATGCAGTTTTGCTGACAAATGTAAAGTTTTGAGGCTAGGTAATAATGATAAGAGTTACAAGATACGAGCTAGATGGTGTTGAGACTGCGAAGTCGGATTGCGAAAGGGAAGTTATGATAAGTAAGAATTTTTAACATCTCTAACCAGTTGTACGAATTCCTGTTCTAAACCGACCTCCCCATTCTTAATCCTTTTGTACCAAGCTCTCTTTTTACCTATAAGGTTCTTCAGATCCTTTGTTTCCATTTCGGGTCATTAGTATTCGATCTATTCAATTTGTATGACATACTACGTTCCTGTGCTTTGCTTATAATATTTTTAAATAAGTTGTAATTTGAATCCACACCGATTTTAATTCAATAAAATTAATTTGTTTCCCTGTTAGTTAACACTAAATCTAAAATATTTTTTTTTGTGAGGGAGACCTCACCCTCCCTACAAAACTGGATCAGTGCCAGAGGGACTCTAAAATCCACCATTACCAAATATTTTGCAGTGGAGAACATCATGCTCTTCAACGTACCATGGAACCATAAAACAGACCTGGGAGACTTGGAAACACTGGACATAAAAAGTTATAATAATGACCAGAACAAGGCTGGCACGCACCAAACTAGCCACACACAGCTATAAATATAGGTCAGATATAAATGAACTTGCATCCACTGCCATGTTCCAGAGAAGATGGCAGTGGATGCAAGAGACAAATCAAAATTATCTCCTTCGCCGTTTCAGATATAGATTTGTACCAGAATTGTTTTTACCAGAATCAATTTCTAGCCACTTCTTATCACCCTCAAAGTGCCTTTTAATTTCTAGTACATATTAGGGGGGAGGAGACTTCTTGCTATATATAAAATACAAATTAATTACACATAGAAATTACAATAGAAAATCATGCATCAAATGAACAAAAGGAAGCGTCTGGGATGATCTCGGACGTAGGTTCGAATCCTCGTCACGGCCCTTGTGGATTTGTACAAATTAATTAAAACATTATTTAAATATCTCCAGTCAACGAAAATTTAGGCCATATCTGACCTATTCATATAACCCAAACCATCGGGACAATCTTGCATAATCGCAGCTGCAAAGAACGGCAGTTGGCGCCATCAACAAATCCAGCCCTCGCCAAGTGCAATGTCTAACTCTAAAACACAACATTCAGGCCGAGCCATGACACAAACACTGACACACCACTGTGACATATCTCCCAAAACCACCAACCCATACAGTTGAAGAGAAAACCTTTCAGTAGACTGCACGTACCATAAGGAAGAACTGATGAACCACTTTAGGCTAGCAAGGGCTAGGCTAGTCAGCTCTCTCAGTTCTGCCTGCTACCACAGGTGACCCGAAAAAGATTGATAGAAAAGGATGGATGAATATTTAATTAATAATTGGGTTAGGGTAATGTTATGGCAGATGATGAGAATAAAACAGTTATAATTAGTTTTGTCGGGGAGAAGAAGCTTGTGTATACTTTAGGCTTGTATCAGGATTCCTGCAAGGAAGCAATCCCACATTGTCTAACTCTCGGGTACCTATTTATTACTAGGTGAACAGAGGCATCATCTGTTCTGTCCCGCTTGGGAATCGAACCCGGGATTCCCAGTTGTGAGTCGGAAGTATATCCACTATGCTACCGACACCCGAACCACTGCACTACGTAGGAGGAAGTGCGTAGAAGGGATATTAATCCAAAACTATAGGAAAGTCTTTGAGTTAGTCAGGATTAGTGATCGAGTAGAGGAAGCAGTCCTTCACACAGCCAAGCATGGCTAACCCTATATATATCTGGGACGACAAGCAGACACAAATTTATGGGTTATTCAAGCCCGTGCTACCTCTTGTGTGGTTTAATCATCATCACTCAGGCACAAAACATGAGTGACAATGTACGGAACAATAATGTGTAGAATGCAGGAGCTTCAGCCTTTCAGAAACAATATCCAAGAGTTCAAATTGCTTCTACACAAATGCCAGAAGCCTTTTAAGTAAACTTGATGCATTGTGCACTACACTGAGGCTGAGAATCCCCACATCATTGACATCAGCGAAAAATTGAGACGAGAAGGCACAAGTAAATGATAATTCTAATTTCCAGAACACCATCTACCTTTCAAAAAGGACATAACAAGAGCAAGTGGTGTAATGCTATACGTAAGAGGACTTGAATGAAACCAACAGTGAGAAATTGAACACCATTGGATTCTAGGAATCCGTATGGGGCAATATTCTAGCTCAAAATGATAGCAAACTGACAGTGAGAGTATTGCTACAGGACAGACACAACAACAGCAGAGGAAGTTACTGATCTACATAATGTGATCAATGCGGCATCGGAAACCGAATCTCTTATAATTGAGAACTTTAACCACGAGATAATAGATTCGACAAATCTAACATCATAGGCGGAAGGAGAACGATTTCTTGGCCCAGTACTTACAGTAACAGCATTCTGAAACTTGTGCTAACATCAAGAGGCCTTGATCGATCAAATCTGATTGACGAAAAGCTCACCGCTCCCCCCGTCACTTACCTAAATGAAGTAGGGGAGTTCAGTTTCTGAGCCCAGTATGTGCTTCTGTAACCCTCGCCACCACTGCCCACGGGATGCGTAGGGGGTGTATAATAAATACTGTAAATGAAAAAGTAATTAAAAACTATAGGACTACTGCTGTTATGGACAGAATTGGCGTTCTTCGTGGAATTCACTTCTCTTCGGCGGGAAATGTTAATTTTTGCCTGGCTTATGTGTATGTTCGCTATTACCGAGCCTGGTGGAAGGGGGAAGGGAGGGGTAGGCACGGGGCGGGCAGCAGGTCAGCGAGGCTGGTGGAGAGGGGGTAGGCCCGGGGGGGCAGCAGGTCAGCAAGGCTGGTGGAGAGGGGGTAGGCACGGGGCAGGCAGCAGGTCAGCGAGGCTGGTGGAGAGGGGGTAGGCACGGGGCGGGCAGCAGGTCAGCGAGGCTGGTGGAGAGGGGGTAGGCACGGGGGGGGGCAGCAGGTCAGCGAGGCAGGTGGAGAGGGGGTAGGCACGGGGCGGGCAGCAGGTCAGCGAGGCTGGTGGAGAGGGGGTAGGCACGGGGCGGGCAGCAGGTCAGCGAGGCTGGTGGAGAGGGGGTAGGCACGGGGCGGGCAGCAGGTCAGCGAGGCTGGTGGAGAGGGGGTAGGCACGGGGCGGGCAGCAGGTCAGCGAGGCTGGTGGAGAGGGGATAGGCACGGGGCGGGCAGCAGGTCAGCAAAGCTGGTGGAGAGGGGGTAGGCACGGGGCAGGCAGCAGATCAGCGAGGCTGGTGGAGAGGGGGTAGGCACGGGGGGGCGGCAGGTCAGCGAGCCTGGTGGAAGGGGGAAGGGAGGGGTAGGCACGGGGGGGGCAGCAGGTCAGCGAGGCTGGTGGAGAGGGGGTAGGCACGGGGCGGGCAGCAGGTCAGCGAGGCTGGTGGAGAGGGGGTAGGCACGGGGGGGCGGCAGGTCAGTGAGGCTGGTGGAGAGGGGGTAGGCACGGGGGGGGCGGCAGGTCAGTGAGGCTGGTGGAGAGGGGGTAGGCACGGGGGGCGGCAGCAGGTCAGCGAGGCTGGTGGAGAGGGGGTAGGCACGGGGGGGCAGCAGGTCAGTGAGGCTGGTGGAGAGGGGGTAGGCACGGGGGGGGAGCAGGTCAGCGAGGCTGGTGGAAAGGGGGTAGGCACGGGGGGGGGCAGCAGAGGTCAGCGAGGCTGGTGGAGAGGGGGTAGGCACGGGGCGGGCAGCAGGTCAGTGAGGCTGGTGGAGAGGGGGTAGGCACGGGGCGGGCAGCAGGTCAGCGAGGCTGGTGGAAAGGGGGTAGGAACGGGGGGGGGCAGCAGGTCAGCGAGGCTGGTGGAGAGGGGGTAGGCACGGGGCGGGCAGCAGGTCAGTGAGGCTGGTGAAGAGGGGGTAGGAACGGAGGGGGGGCAGCAGGTCAGCGAGGCTGGTGGAGAGGGGGTAGGCACGGGGCGGGCAGCAGGTCAGTGAGGCTTGTGAAGAGGGGGGTAGGAACGGGGGGGGGGGCAGCAGGTCAGCGAGGCTGGTGGAGAGGGGGTAGGCACGGGGGGGGGGCAGCAGGTCAGCGAGGCTGGTGGAGAGGGGGTAAGCACGTGGCGGGCAGCAGGTCAGTGAAGCTGGAGACGAAACAGCTGCTGCAGTATATAAGTCTGGGCAGGCGCCGGTATAGTCACATTCGGTCACAACTCTCTTCCAGTTCCAGGTGAGTTCCTCGCTACCCACACACCAGCATTAGGGATGTTTGCCCCAAGAGGTGGACCACATTTCTTGGTGCATATACCCAGAATTTTATTTTAATCCTGGAATATGTTCAAGGCTAAATTACACTTGCTGGTTGGTCCGTGAGCATGTTAACTGTGGTGGCCTTATAATAATCTACTTATGCAGGGTTATATGCCTTGAGATCTACACCATCCTAGCACGTACTTTAAACAAGTAACTTTCACAAAACAAAAATTAAGATGTACAGTAACAGTAACTTTTTAACGGTTTTTAACTTTTTCCATGTACAGTAACTTTTTAAACTTAACATGTACGCTATATAGAAGCATTTACAAGACTGTAATTACCATATTTGTATCCTCACATTCCTTATGTACATTCTTGTATATGCATAAATAAATAAATAAATAAATCCAAACTACAGTAGTTGACATCAGTACGATTAAAAAGACACTAAACTTACGGGAACCTCAGTTTTTATAACGCCACCAAAAGTCAGTTGGGATTGTCTATTTCAACTGAAACAAGGTACAATTAGGCGTGAGGCAGCCACTCTCAGCACTGACCACTGTCTGGTCACGGTCATCTTGGTTATTTAGCAGGTAATCTGCTTAGCATTTGGTCACGTAATTACCTAAGTGTAGTTACAGGATGAGAGCTACGCTCGTGGTGTCCCGTCTTGATGGGTATGGGGTGCATAATATAGAAAGAAAATCATATTTCACAGGTTCCATATCTTCATATTTCTGGAAAGTGTTTATAGGGATGGCCACCTTATAAAAAATACTTGCTTTACCCCAGAAAATAAAAAACATCCAAAAAGGATAGAGTAACTTAGATTAATTATACCCCTGCTTTACTTTTTAAATTTATTCCATTAGTTTAGTCATTATTTTTTATTGCGTGAAATTAACCTGTTCCATACACCATTGATGATTTAAAGAGTTTTTCTTCTCCATAGTGTACCAACTCCACAACTCCATGATGAAGGTCTTTGTGTTGATGGTCTTTCTGGTAGCAATTGCATCGGCCTTGCCGCAGGCAACGGATGCAGCAGCGGCTCCTCCCGCAGAGGGTGCAGCAGGGGGTGCTACTACCCCAGCAGCTGGCGCAGGGGGTGCAGCAGGAGCTGGTGCTACCACAGCACCTGCCGCAGGGGGGGAAACCACTGCCGCAGGAGGAGGAGCAGGAGCTACTACAGCAGCAGCGTAAGGATAACCTTGTAATAATACCACTAGAACCCAAGGGTATGACTTAAGGCAACAAAAGCGAGTATCTTTTTTTTTTTCTACAAACTCAAGTACACCGGCACTGTATTGCTACTATATTCTATAAGGTTAGAGTTTAGGTCAAAAGCTAGCCATGTTCAGTTATCATTCCCTTCTGCTAGCCTGCTCTATCAAATGGCATGTAAACTGTGGGAAAATGTTCATGTACATACTTTAAAATAAACATTAATTAAAAAGCTCCAGATATTTTACACCTGTGTGACATGTTTAATTGCCGGATATTGAGCAATATAGTGTTTGAGACATGTCCTTGCTGCCTTTAACTTATTAGTTCATATTAGGAGTGGTTAAGGTTTGGAGATTGTTATCTGAAGATAACCTTCAACAATTATTAATATCCTAGCCTAATCCTGGTAATTACAATGGCACACTTTGATGGAACTGTTATCCTTGCATACAAATTTCAGATCGGAACAATTCGCAATTGTTACTGCTATAGTGTTTTGTTAAGAAGTGTTTGTGATTTCTTTCTTCTTAAACTTTCAGTAATATAGAGATAGGATTATTAATGAGCCTAAATTAATATTCTGTTTGCTATTTGCATGCTGAGTAAATGCTGCACACTTTTGTTTAACATAAATTTATATTGTAGTTATTTAAAAAAATAAACACTATTGTATTTTGTTTAAATTTTAAATAAATATTGGCAAAGTGCATTATGCTTTATTACCAACCACTGCAATATTTTCTAGTTTGTATAATCATTACATCATGGCCTTTTTTATATAGAACTAAGAAATTCAGCTCTGATTCTGCATTGTAGCTACATCTCCAGTCCCCCAGTTAAATAGAAGCTGCCATTACCAGAGATGAAGTAGGGAGGCACCTGCTAGAACTGGACACAGTTTAAACTGGTCCATTCAATTACCCAAAACCACCCAAAGCCTCTTTAAATTAAACAAATGAACAAATCCACAAGGGCTGTGACGAGGATTCGAACCTACGTCTGGGAGCATCCCAGACGCTGCCTTAATTGACCGAGAAATCATCAACAGCGTGATTGATGTACCACGCTATTGTGATTTCTGTGTGTTATCTCCTAAACTTACTTAAGTATAGAGGAAATATAACATATGCTTACTATAATGGTGGTGCTGAATGTAGAACATTAAAAATATTATTTTACCAAGACATAAAACAAAATAAGACCGAACTAGCTAGTGGCTAAAGGCCATTAAAATCAACGAGGCCCTCATATTCAACACACCCTATCTCCCAGAATGAAACTGACCAAGAAAAGCTATTAGACTCCTATTGTGGCCTCTTCAGTCTTACCTGTGGAAAGTGTAAGTGCACAGCATAGGCACGGCTATGTTAACATCGTGCATGACATGCTGAAAGGCCAACTACAATTTGAAATCAACATTATTGCTGCATAAAGAGTTGGTAAAAAGAATTGAAATGGTCTAAGTCAATGGAAAATTCATCTCAAACTAGCTGGTTGCTCTATTAAATCTGATCTTGTCAACTATGCAGTGTCCCCCAATAAAGGTGTTTACATCTACAAGTGATTGACTTGGAAAAAAGAAAGGAATTTTTTTGACATCTGAGTAAAGTTCATAAGCAAAACAAAGTATTGATGCATCAGTACAAGGGAGAAATACTTTTGAAATATGAGGGAAACCTCAATATATTCCACTCCCAATGTCACCTAGCCCCTCCAACTCTTCTCCCAGCTCCACTCTACTCTGGCTATACTTCTACCTGTTTCACATTTTTTTTGTTATCTGCTATCGAGTGTACTACATATGGTAAACTACCTTTCCTGTACAGTTGTATACCCTTAATGGTTTGCCAAGTATATTTTAAGTATATAATGCTGGAGGTCAGTAGTTCAACATTAGAGGACCTTAATGTTAGCTTAACATGTACAGTGACACCTTGACTTACGATTGCCCCGACTTACGACAGTTTCAAGTTACGACATAAATTTGATCGGAAAATTGCAACTCGACTTACGATAGTGTCGTCAACTAATGATATTCGTTGATACACGGTCGACTGAGCACATGGTTCACAGTCGCGCTGGCCGACCTGCCTCAGTTTACTAGAGTCACCAGCTTAGTGACGATCATGCTTATAAGAAATTCCATTTTTTGGCTATTTTTTGCCTTTTGAACATAAAACTGATTATTATATATCATGCCATGGGTCCCAAGAAAGTCAGTGGTAAGGTTCAACATATGAAAACACACATGAGGATGACCATAGAGTTAATTGAGCAAATTTCTTCAGGGAAGGAGGAGGCAGAACAGAATGTCCCTTCCTCAACAATTAGGAAGTGATGTAGACTGTGGGAAGAACTGCAAACTTTTGTTGAAATGACTCACCCAGAGCAAGCTGCAGTAGGCCGTTGCTTTAACCTTTTCAAGGACACTGATGCATCACTACAGACAAATGTTAAAATGAAGGGGAAAACAAGTGTCGCTAGACAAATTTTTAACGAGACAAACAAGCAGTGAACCACAACCAGGTCCTAATGGTATGCAGGCAAAATGTAGGAGAGAGTGTACCCCCAGAGAAGTCATCACTACCTGATGTTATAATGGAAGGAGACTCCCCCTTCAAACAGTAACACCTCTCCTCCTCCCTCCTCATCACCATCTTCCATATGACATCAAGAGTCCTCCATAAAGGTAAGATAAACATATGTACTGTATTGTAGTTAGAGAACAAAAATTGTTTTCAGTATAAAATGTAATTTTTAAGTTAATATTTTTTGGGGCATGGAACAGATTAATTCAATTCCCTTTATTTCTTATGGGAAAAATCGCTTCGACTTACAATACGTCTCTGAGAACGTATTACCATCGTAAATCGAGGCCCCACTGTATATGTATACTGGCTGATGTCCCCTGACGCAATGAATTATTATTATTAATTATAATGTATCATTAATTAACTTAAATGTATGGTTTCTAAACATACATCACAAAGATGTTAGTGCCTTATTGCAAGCACAAAAACTGAAGATTTTTATTTGTTGTATAAGCTGAGACATGGTTGCATAATGACTTTACCCAATTATTTAACATGCCCAACTACTCTATTATCCACAATTGTAGGCCAACTCAGGTGGAGGAGGTGGTGGTGGTGCAATAATTTACTGCCACTAAGAGCCATTGTGCTTGAAAGTTATCATAACTGGAGACATTTGTGGAGAGAACCAGATATATATATTTCCTGTTCAAAATCAAGGGTTCAAACTTGGACTTAACTTTGGAAGCTGTCTACAGAATTCTAAACAAATGTAATTGAATTAAACTCTAACCTTAGAAATTTAACATTAACTAACAAACTTAACAAAAACTTGCAATGCCAACAGATCTTAATATTGACCTTTGCCAGCCTGATAACTCACTAATTGCTAGCTTCCTCCATGCTTTGAACTCCTGTATGCTATTGCCCACGATAAGTAAACTCACCAGAAAAACTGCTCGATAATCCACAACGCAATAAGTATAATGGTTCTCTTGTCCTGTTCATTGAAGACCAAAATAATTCATTTATACTGATTATCATTATAATCAAACGGTCACACACACATGGGACAAATTTAATTAATACTTACAATAATATTAAATACAGATGCAGTAGTCTATATCCATGAGAATCACATACTTGTCACTGGTGTCATGCCACTGGTGTATAGCTCTTAAGAGTTTGTGATATGTTTTGGACCTGCAAACACCGACATTGAACGTGTAAATTCAACAAGCCTTGCCACGATTTAATTTTTAAGGTAGGTTACCATCAAATATTTTATCTAGGCTGGGTGTCCGTGAACCTTTCCTAATAGGTATAAATGCACTAAACTCATTCATAGGAATAAAGACATTGAATGGGTGCAACACCTTTATGTTCAGCAGCAGCATAGCGGAATGCTTCCTGTACCTTAAGGTAAGGAACCAGTACACAGCCACTGAAGAGGTTAAGTCCATGATGTCATAAATAATTACTAATATACAGTAGTTGGAATTAAATAAAGTTAATTTTCACGTGACCTGTTGAAGAATTATTTTTAGTAAATGTTATCCTCACCAAACTACTGTGGACATACTGGATACAGTAATACCAAGTAATCTTAAATCTAATACAAGGCAGTTTTCCAAGGCGGGGATCCTTCCAATAAGCATACATTCTTATCATTTGTTTTATTTAACTAGAGCTTCCAATTAAATTGTAATATAATATAAAATCTATACTTTTACAGAAAAATGAAAACAAATTATTTTTCCTCCAAATTTCCTTCTATCATACAAGAGCTCGGTAATCTGAAAATCCGATATCCCAAATCTTTGAGTAACTAATGAATTGGTGTTCATCATTTTTAAGCAAACAGCTGGAGGAACCAGGAAAAAAGGCAAGAGTAGCAGAGTCGTGATACAAAAAATGTTGAATGTTTATTTTTAGCCATTCCTGGCAAGAAACTCGGCTATATCATATGGTCGGCTAACTCAAATGGGGCAGGACATCTTATGATTCAGATTACCAAGCATAGGCAATATATCACTTCTATATAGCTCCTGTGAAGCTCAGTCTGCCAAGCACATATAGGTATTTTATTAACAAAGAGCTAATCATTATAGAATTTAAAAACCTAAAATTAAATAACCAAGCATAACATATTCTCCTAATATACATGACCTTTACAATATCAATGCAGATTTAATTAAGCTCATTTTAAAATCTTGTCAATCTTCCAGTGGGCAAGTGATTAAAATGATTAAATCTATAAGAAAATAAAACAGAAAATTGGCACTTATACTATATATCAACTGTTGAATATAATGGTACTGTATATAAAATATATATATATGTATATTATTAACTACATAACTGCTGTAATAACTAGTTGGAATAGACATGCAATGACAATATGGCAACATGCTCTGTTGCATAACTCATCTCGATACTCCTCTTGATAATTTATACAAAGACAAGCCTACAAGGTAATCTTCACTTAACACACCGAGCCCATGGCACCTAGCACAGCCGACTACTGTAGTACTCGATCCTTTATTATAACAATTTCCTTTTGCTCTGTAACAGCCTAAAAGTTTCTCAATGGTAATAGTAGTAATAAATACTATTTAGGACTGAAATTATAATATGAATAATAAATGAATACAAAACATTTAAAACAAATTTAATAAACATTTTCTCCAGGCAGTCATAAATAGCAACTAAGGTTATCTAATTATAGTTGCAATATGAAATATCAGACAACAATGAAAGTTTATGCATCAAAGTTTGTGCATCTAAAACAAAACTACTATTACTACTGTGCAACTACAATATAGCTAATTACATAAAAACAATACCCTTAACAAAAACATAACACTCCCTCCAATTAAATACGAAATCTAGGAATACTTTCTATAAAACATTCAAATTATTCATATAGGTGCTCAACTACACGTACTTAAAATTAAAAAAAAAAATGTGTATCTTCGGATCCCTCGAACGTGTGCGCTCAGTCGTCGTGTGTGCGCACATGGTAATGTGTGCGTGTGCATTTAGTCCTCATCTGTACCAACAGCCTGTAAAACAGAGTAAATCTAAAGTGCACATGGCATTGTTTATAAAACAAAATTATATTAACCGAAACAAACCTATTGCGTTTCAACTGTTGACATAATAAAGGCACGATTCCATGTGACCAAATTAAGTCTTACAAGATAACAGTATGGGCAATAATGAAACAACCCTCATCTCAAGGTCAATGATTAAAAGCATGGCAGCAAAAAATCATAGCCCAAAACCTTTTAAACACGTACAGGAAAATAAACATATATATATATATTCAGAATATTTCAAGTGATTTAGTAGTCAAAAAGTAAAAAAAACACAAATACCAGTGAAGTTTTAGCTTAACAAATCAGTATAAATGTTTTAGAGAAAAATAATTTAATATGATTACCAGGACACACTAAGAACACCCAAAAAATATTACTACAAACCAAATGAAGTTGAGGAAAATAAATTGGAAATTCAGCGTGAAACATTCTAAGAGCTAAGCTTCTAAAATGAATGATCTCTGTGAAAGGCAAAACTACAGTTTGGGGTCTCAACTATAACAATACTTATTAGATACAAAGTACAGGGAGTCCTCTTTATATGAACATTTGTCCATCCAAACAGCCTCCCAAGTACCATTTTTGTCTCTTAATCCACTATATATACTGCATACATAAATCGATCAAAATGTCCACATGACCCACTAGTGTCATGTTGTGACTGACACTGTCCCACTCAGAAGTACTATGATCACTCATAAACAGCTAATCCTCCTTACTTTCAAAGTTCTAATAGAACAAGATAATGCTCTATTGGGGGTGGGTGATAGGTGAATGTCAGGGGGGGGATGGGAAGGAGGGGCCTTGAGGGAAGAGAGACGGTGTGTGAGGATGATGGTGGGGAATGGTAGGTGGGGAATGTGACTGCTGGCAACTTATTGCTTAGTCTAGTCTTGTCTTGTCTTGTCAGCTGATTGCCGGCCAGCTTGTCGAGAGTGCAGTGGTGGGTGTTGGGAGTGTGTACTCACCTAGTTGTGTTTGCGGGGGTTGAGCTCTGGCTCTTTGGTCCCGCCTCTCAACTGTCAATCAACTGGTGTATAGATTCCTGAGCCTACTGAGCTCTATCATATCTACATTTGAAACTGTGTATGGAGTCAGCCTCCACCACAACACTACTTAATGCATTCCATTTGTTAACTACCCTGACAGTGAGAAAATTCTTTCTAACATCTCTGTGGCTCTGTCTCTGTCTCTGTGTATGGGCGTTGGGAGTCGGTGGGTGGGTGTTGGGAGTCGGTGGGTTGGTGGTTGGAATGTCAGGAATGGGTGGGTTGGTGGGTGTCAAGAGTGGGTGGATAGTTGGAAATATACAATTTAGAAAAAAGATTGTATTCAGTTTCCATAGTGGTTTGAAAAATTACTTTCTAAATCCTGCAATACTGGAAAAGACATCTAGCTCCTGTATTAGAATAGGATTTTTAAGGTAATAGTCATGGCAGTTTGGTGGCAAGAGAAGAAAACATTACCCCATGCAGTAGGTATTTCTGCCCGGTGGCGAGAATAAAAAGATTCACCCAAAACAATTACACTAAATACTCCAAGAGCAGTCAACATTTTGTCTGGCATATTATAATTGATTTACCAGCTATTGTAAATTATTGCAGTATGAATCCAATAATGATTAATGGTAGATATGAAATGTTTTTTAATTAAAACTATGAAAAAGTGTAAATTCATTTTTGGTTGTGGGTTTTATGACCCACAATACAAAAAAACTACAACAAAATTCTTTAGCAAGTATTATTTTATCGAGTGTATTTATGATAAAATTATATGCAAAGGGAAAACTCATTAAGTCTGGTATTAAATTTTGTCCAATAGATAATATACATTTTTAATGATTTCATGGACTTTATGGAAAGAGTATTCTTTTTATTAGAAATATAAAAATAAATGAGAAGTGTTTTGTCACAATAAAAACAAGTGATGTTCAGTGGAATGCATGAATCACAATCGCCCAAGGAAGTCATGCCAACTAATGGACCCATGTTAAAATTTGTGTGCACTGTTATTTGCCTCGACGCAGGAGTAAGCAAAGATGATGCACTTCATACCCAGCACAGAGATAACTCTTTCATTAGCCAGTAAATGACCAAGAGGCATGCATGAGTAAAATTGACCATGCAAGCCTCCACTGAAGGCAAAGGCTAACAGCACTCAAAATCATTTTCACGATGTACACTAAACAGCCATTGAGTTCTCATTTGGCGGCAAATCTTACAAAGGAGAGAGCCTAAATGTAAAAGTGAGGAGTTCTCAAGCACCCACTATTAACAATGCTGGCAGCGATATCTTTTAGTGCAAAAGAATAGCAACCAAAATGGCTAACTAGCAATTAAGCAGAGCAATACTTGGTGGTCTCTTTAAAAGAGTTATTGTAGTGCATTGCAGCATTGTTATTGTAGTGCATTGCAGCTTTATTAGCATTGTAATGCTAATAAAGTATCTTGAGTGTAGTTGGATGAGCCTTCTGCTAGTCATTTTAGGCAGAATTTATGAACTTCTAAAGCGTTTCTTTCCACATGCAGACGATGAGTCACAATAATGTGGCTGAAGATACGATGACCAAATCACGCACCAGAAGATGAGGCGACAATGTTTTAATCCGTGACAATGTTTTCAATGGGAGCCGGTTGGCCGAGCGGACAGCACACTGTACTTGTGATCCTGTGGTCCCGGGTTCGATCCCGGGCACCGGCGAGAAACAATGGGCAGAGTTTTTTTCACCCTATGCCCCTGTTACCTAGCAGTAAAATAGGTACCTGGGTGTTAGTCAGCTGTCACGGGCTGCTTCCTGGGCGTGGAGGCCTGGTCGAGGACCGGGCTGCGGGGACACTAAAGCCCCAAAATCATCTCAAGATAACCTCAAGATAGATCCGTCCTGGACCATCATCACAATCTACTTGATAATGGTCCAGGATGGACAGAAACATCATCGTCTCATCTTCTGGTCTGTGGTTTGGTTATCATATTTCTTTCTACATTAATGACCCAGCAGGGGGTGGCATGAAAAGATCCACACTAAATATATAACTTAATTACCATATACCAAAGAGAAACTACTATTCCTCACAAAATCTTATGAAAATTAATGGTATTTAGCCTCTAAATGACAGCTCAATCTCAAATGGCTTGACAAACTACTGTGTAACTTGTTAGTACTGTACATTATTTTAAATTTTAAGTGAATTAATTTGGGTTTTGCCAAGAATTGATTCTTACAATAACCGACAAAATAATAAAACTACAGGGGATTCTTGTTAATAAAAGATTATAATTTAACCCTTTGGCTGCACTAAACAATAGTGGGCTGCTCAAAAACAAAAACAAAAAAAGACGACATAAGCAGCACAAGTCTACGGGCCTAGAAAACTATTTCCAAGCTATGAAATTTTCAACCGGGTCATTCAAAACAGACCCCTAGACCAGGTGAACACTTGCCAGCAATTGACAGCACAATGAAGTGTTACTCCATACAATAGCACCAAAAATTTGGTAATTAGTCTTCCTTCAAACTCTTACATTTGCACCTAACATCTATTACTGCAATTATTTTTATAATTAAGATATGTTATTTCATTTTAATTGTTGTAATATGTTGCAAACAATATACTTGTGTATACTGTAGTACTGTAGTATACAATGTATATATTTAAGCATATTAAAGTCAATTCATAAGTTTGGAACCATTTTTTTCTTTTGTATGAAAATTACCTCGTCTTCATGTCAAATGTACAGTAGTTCACCTTTTTCTGTCCTATAATAATTAATGGTAAATATAAAGAACATTCCTTTTCTTAACAAATATTACAACAAAATAACTCTAGAAAACACAAAGCAATGGAAGGAAAAAGGGGACAAAATAAGTTTTTGGCATTGTAGTAATTTACAACCTAAATATATATATAATTTCTTAGTGGGTATACTTATTTGTTGTATTTATGATAATATTCTACATACATCTGGAATATGTATGAATTGATAGTTAAAGTAATTTTGTATATTACAGTATATCTTCTTTAGAGGTTATCTTGGAGATGATTTCGGGGCTTAGTGTCCCCGCGGCCCGGTCCTCGACCAGGCCTCCACCCCCAAGAAGCAGCCCATGACAGCTGACTAACACCCAGGTAACCATTTTACTGCTAGGTAACAGGGGCATAGGGTGAAAGAAACTCTGCCCATTGTTTCTCGTCAGCGCCCGGGATTGAACCCGGGACCACAGGATCACAAGTCCAGCGTGCTGTCCGCTCGGCCGACCGGCTCCCAATTCTATATAAAGACAACTAAAAACTACAGTATTTGTTAATTTCTGTTTAAGGATCTAAAAAATATCTGTATATGGATGCATTTTGACTCTCGGCGAAGATAGGGTTTAAGATGTGATGTTGCAGCCAAAGGGTTAAAAAGAAAAAGAAAACCACATCCATCACCGTCAATCACGAGACAAACACCACAATTCCCATGCCAAATTTACAATGCCATAGACTCACTTACTTGGAAAAACAGAATATATGTGTAATGCAAGAAGATTAATTTGTGTATATGACCTATGTCTGGGATCGTGGAATTAACCCAACAGCTGAACCAATTCTATGATTCATCCATTCTCGAAAACCACCCTGAAGAAAGAAAATTCTAATGAGGCCTATCTTTCTAATCCACTAATAATTCTTATAAATATAGCTGCAGGCACACAACAGCTTTAGTGTAAACAAATATGTAACGTATCATAAATTGTACAATGTATTCCCAATTCAGATTAACGAGACCCATTCCATTCAAACTGAATATTTATTTTATAGTTCTTTACACATTTTTATGGAAAGACTAGCAACATGATTTAATAAAAGAACAAGCTTGTTTAACATATTTACAATTTTTTTTTTTTTTAATTTTATATTAGAAGATTATAATATTAAATACCTAGACTTTAATAAGGCTTTCAATTTTTTTCCACACGAGAGAATAATATGAAAGATAGATCAGACTAAATAAGTCTGAGTGGGAAATGGCAGCAAGTGGAGTGCCCAAGGACTATCCTGGGACTTCTATCGTTTGCCATAAACGTAAGTGATTTAGATACAGGAGTGAACAGCAACTTTAGTAAATTACCAATGTTTATCAAAACAAAAAATCTTAAAATGTTAGGTGGAATATCTAATCAGACTTGCAATGGAATAAAAATGGGCACATGCAGACAAAACATTTGTTCACTGCTGACAAATCCATTGTTTTAAAAACAGGAAAAGAAATTAAATCCAACTTCTGGCCAATTATTCTGACTTTTGTAGTAGAAAAATTATTTTAATCATTACAAATAACACTTCTATTCAGTTTGAAAAAAATGGAAATAAATAAGGTTAACATAGCATAGCTTTCCTAAGGTCTGTTCTTGTTTCACAAACTTTGTCTCATTCTTTTACAGAATATCTGATACAAAGGCAAAGATTGCAACATTATATACTTTGACTACCTCACCAAACACTGGTTAGAAAGGTGGAAGAACATGGTTATTTCAAAGGACATGTAGGGCCAGTATAAACCTGCGTGGTAAACTGTTGCAAGTGCAGTGCCCCAGGAATCCGTCCAGAGAACTCGGTTGTACAAAAATGCCGTATGTTTAAACAACTAAGACACAGGATTGAGAGCAGAAACATTGACAAATTGCAGACAAGGAGTCACAATAACATGGCTGATATGTTGACCAAACCAAACACTAGAAAGTGAAGGGACGACGACGTTTCGGTCTGTCCTGGACCATTCTCAAGTCGATTCTTGTGAAGAACACAACAATCTACTTGAGAATGGTCCAGGACGGACTGAAACGTCGTTGTCCCTTCACTTTCTAGTGTGGTTTGGTCAGCATTGACAAATTTGCTGACAACACTAAAATAGAATGAGAAATATATTTAGGAGATAACTCAAAATTGCTATAGAAGGATTTGGATACTTTCAAAATTTAAATAGTAGAAACAGTGAAATGCTGATATTTGAAGGGTTATGAACCTTGGAAATTGACAAAACTTGCAAAGTATCTGCTAAATAAATGAAATAAACAAACCTGAATGTGACAAGACTCTACGAGTTATAATTAGACAAAATCCCAAGCCAAAAATTCAATTAATGCTCAAAATAGAGGAAATGAGATACATGGATTCATATCTAGAAGCATTAGTAAGAACAATATTTAATATTATTCTTCAGCTTTATCTTCCCCTTGTTACCCCCCCTTTTGTAAATTATGCAATTTTTTTTTTTTTTTTTTTTTTTTTTTTTTTTTTTGAGATATATACAAGAGTTGTTACATTCTTGTACAGCCACTAGTACGCGTAGCGTTTCGGGCAGGTCCCTGGAATACGATCTCCACCGCGAAGAATCGTTGTTACAACCAAGTACACATTTTACTGTTGCATTAAACAGAGGCTACAGTTAGGGATTTGCACCCAGTAAATCCTCCCCGGTCAGGATACGAACCCATGACAAAGCGCTCGCGGAACGCCAGGCGAGTGTCTTACCACTACACCACGGAGACTGTAAATTCAGTTTCATGCACCACACTACCGGATAAACAAGAATTCTCTTTAAAAATTTCCAGAGAAGGATGACACGGATCATTCCAGGAATTAGATACCTTGTACATGAAGAGATTAACACTTTCATTGTTCGACCTGTAATATTACTTAAACTGCAGCCATTTCTAATATGTTTTAGCACAAAGTGGACAGCATAGAACAGTTAGATTACAAAGCATTACCTCTGCCACTACCAATAGCTAGCTGTGAAGCTTAAATAAGCTACAGACAAAATATCCAAGTTTTTTTTGGCATGAATATAAAGTTATATAAAACTTAAAACAAAAATGTTAAACTTTGTCAATATGTAAACCACTGTTATTACAGAATATTAAATGTACACTACACAATAATTCCTGTAATAATGAGTGTAAATAATACAAAAGTATATATCAATATGAATGGCAGAAACAAAATTTAATTCTGAGCATGATGCAGTCTGGTGACTAGTTAAACTTAATTAAAACTTTATAAAAGGATGAAGAGTAAGGAGGAACATTATTAAAGTATACAAACTGATGAAAGGGTACAACAAGAGCAATATAAAAAGAACACTAAAAATATAAGACTCAAAATTTAACATGAAACAGATATAAATTAGAAGAGTTTAGATTCAAAAAGAGAATTCAGTAAAAACTGGGTGGTATGGTTGGATAGGAACAGGAGCAGTCGTGCATGGACCAATGGGTCTAATTCAGTTTCTTCAATCCTTATATTCTTACATTGTAGCCAAATACCTACTTGGGCAAAATTTGCAAGTCTAAAAATTAGTGTACTCAAAGACATCTCCCATCTAAATTGTCATCCACACTTCCGTGGAAACAAACATTACATTCACCTGAGCTCTAGGAGGCTCGAACCTTGGACTCCACACGTGTGTGGCCGAAGCCTATTAAGACTACTCAATAGCTCTGTCGAGAGCGCTTCGGCCTCACACACATGGGGTCCATGGTTTGAATCTCCTAGAGCCCAGGACCCGGAATCACGAATCAGTTATGCAAGTACTTACGAACGTGTACATCTTTCCTCAATCTTTGATGGCTTTGGTTACATTTATTAAACAGTTTACAAGCATGAAAATGCCCCAATCAACTGTTGTTATTGTTATAAACAGCCTCCTAGTGCTTCGGAGCTTATTAGCTGTTTAATAATTGCAAACAAAGCCACCAAAGATTGAGAAAAGATGTACAGGAGTGTAAGTGCTTGCGTAACTGCTTTATGAATCCGGGCCGTGGTGAATGGAACACCTCCCATCTATTTGCAGTACAATCTACACAACTATGTATGTACAACCATTATAGTCACACTCCCAACAACTTATTCCAACCAGCACTCCACCTCTTTGTATACCAAGGTTTGTAGTCCTTTCCCAGAGCTATCACCTAAAAACTAGGTCAAATACTCCTAAACTGATTGATTTAACGTAATTCCCTACCACTTTTCATGCATTATTCACACTTACAGCTATTAATGGACTCACCTTGGCAATTTGCTGGACTGCAAACACTGAAGCAACACCGAGGCCAAAAGCAATGAGGTATGGCATGTATTTTAAGCTTGGGAGTGAATGTTCTTTCAACATGTTAGAGAGGAACTTCATGTTCTTTTCACTGTATGGTGGGTAACGCTTCCTGTAAGGCACGTAAGTAAATTATATAAGGCTCACCAAACAACACTTTTTTCCTGGCCTGTTGGACTATTCTCCCTACCTCTAAATGTTATATACTGTACTGTACAGAATAGTGCTTTCACAATCCACTATACTGGCTACATTTCCTTTCAAAATTCAGTATACATTTCCAAACACTGAGGATTAATCAACCTCACAAATTTTATATTAAATGAAAATGATCAACATGAAGATGTATTATGCAAGAATACTAAGACTATATCTTTTAAAAATATTAATGTCTAGAGAAATACAGTACTGTAGTTACTCCACTTATTACATGTGCCTCTTCCCATACACGCCAGCATACTAGCAGAAGCTTTTGCAACACTAAACATACCACTATACTGCAGTAGTGATAAATTAAAAATCAAATTACTGTACCTTAGTTCTGCTAAATACCAACTTGTTTCCCCCAAGTCCATAAGCAAACATACATGCAAATGTTACACTATGAATATTGAAACATGAACACAATTATTAAAGAACAGCGTGTAATTACACAGTATAATCTATAATAGATTGGTTGTCATGACTAAGTGCTGTACTCACTTCCCAATAGCATCGGCAATCTTGTTGTAGTTCCGAATGAGGCAAGATTTGCGATGGGTGAATGTATCATACGAAGCTTTCCCGTGGTATGCACCCATTCCACTGTTGCCAACACCACCAAATGGTAAATCATGAACTGAAAATAGTGGTAAAAATTGATATAGCATGCATAATATATATACACAGAACAATATTCTGTATGTTCATATTACACTGTCCTCAGCACTAACTTCAGTTTTATTTTATATTCATAACTGAAACTTAATTTAATGCATATTGAGAAACTGCACTAATAAACAGTATGCAGCATTATTAATAAAAAGCAGCATATACAAACAATAATTACAAATGCAAACAATAATGAAACAAACCTTGGCACAGCACTTGACAACTACCATGTGCACAAACACCAGTACATAAAATGCAAACAAGTACCATCGGTAAAATACAAACAAATTTCAAACAATTTCACACTTGTCTCAACCTTGGCACAGCACTTGACAACTACCATGTGCAAAAAGCAAACACCAGTACATAAAATGCAGAAACAAGTACCATCGGTAAAATACTGTATCATGCGATGAACATGATTTTTCTTGTTTTTTAATGTTCAATTTATTTTTTCTCGAGTTCATGTTTTTTTAAAACATGACAACTCTTAGATGTGCCCCATTATAAAGTCCTGGATATTAAAATCTTGTTTGCTATTTACTGAAGAGAGACTTGAAGTGCAGGTAAGGGGTCAAGAATAATTTATGTTTGTTGCAAGTGTGTCAGAGACACTGAGTAGAATTAATTTAATTTCTGTAATTCTTGTACCGTTTATAACTTCTCTACAAGAAGTAGCCACATGAAAATTTATCCTAATGCATTTAAACTACAGTACTTTATTCTTCTCAAATACTTAAAACAACACTTTGAATTTTTATTTTTTTATGCTGGAATTTAAGCCTTTGGCTAGGCAGTGGAACTGACTTGGTAATTCAAGTCCATTTTTTTCACATATACAATCTGCCAATTGTTTTATATCCAGATCCCAAATTACTGCTGATTACATAGGCAAATCGAGTAAATAAATGGCTCCCATTCATCACATCCTGTCCAGAATTTAAACCCAGCTAAACTTGTTTGCTAGGAGAGCGAGCTAACCACTACGTCACAGGGGTCATCTCAGGGCCATCACGTCATCACAAGACAAGCCTGGTCTTTAGGGAGCAGATGAACTCCCAGAATCCATTCCAGGTATACTCCAGGTACTTGTCCCTGTAAAGACCAGTGGAGAAATCTATGCGCACTCTACAACCAACTCTGCTTGCTTAGGTATCATAAGCAAACTATTACCAACTGTTTACTCTCAGATACAAGAAAGTGACAAAGATGGCATCATAAATTTACCACAAGTGTGTGAAGAACAAAGGAAAACAAAAAAATATACATAGTGACAGAAGCAGAAAGTGTGTGTGTTTGGACAGCAACAATACGCACTGGACACATTACACAGTGTTTCAGAGCTCTGTATGCAATAACTCATCCTTGTGCTATATTAAAAGTAATGCTGAAAACTAAAGAGCTAATTTATATATTTGTTTCATACTAGTTCTTTGATTTTGCAATTTAAGAATTAAACAGATGGTAATAATAGTACTCTAAGAATAACAACTACGATCATCTAAAGTGTGGAAATATTGCCCTATCCAAACAAGGTTAAGAGTATGTATACCTTAAAAGTACTGTACATGCATATCAAAGACACATGTACATGAGGAGGCATGAACAGATCTAAGCAGCAAAGTAGTTAAGATTACTTGCCCTCATTGGTAAATGAGGGCAAGTAATCAACACCTGCATCAGGTGTTGATTCCATTTATGATTTTATTAATATATGGTACCTATTACTACTCAACGTTATCAATTATTCTAGATGCCTTTATTAAACTCTGTTTTCCTTCATTCTCATAATGGCATTCCTGAAAACATATCACAGCTTGAGCAAAAACTTCTGCTTTGTTTCCTTAAATTAGTCAAGAATCACTGCTTAACTCAGAACCATCGATACTTTCGATACCTAAATACTTTAAGCATCAAAGGTCTATTCTTTTCATTTAAAAGACTTGACTGGTCCCTTGGTCGCTATTCAAGTCAATGCTTAGTCCGCCTGAAATGCAATTCACACCCCAGGCTCTGGTTGATCTCTCCTTCCACCCTGGCAAGTATAACTTTGTAAAATAATCTTATAAAGTGGTTAGGGCAAGAAGACAGTGAAGAGTATCATGATGCACCATTGAACAACTGCTCATTATTAATGAGACATTCTACTCAATACCACCAACAAATGATCATTGAAATTACTGTCCTGCTCTATGGGTTAGTCAGTACAGTACCTCCTACACCAACCAACATTAGGTGGCAGCACGAGCTACCACCATAGGGTTGAGGGAATCTACAGCTCTCACTTAAAACCCAGGCCACCCAAGCACACTTGGGACAGTGGGACCAGAAGGGTGGGAAGAGAATCAACTGAGGAACTAGCTCAAACAGCATGGCTCGTTCCACTCAACACCATATTTCTAAAATAAAGATCCCCATCAGTTGCACCCCAAGCTCACTCCTATCAATGTTGCTGAAATAGAATGAGCAGGTATTGGGTGGCAAAGGTCCAGTTCAGTGTGCAGAAACCTCGAGCCCAGATTTTGAAGCAGGACATTGACTAGACGAATACTGCAAGAACTGCAATTTTCCAAAGATCGTGGGAATGGAGATAAGCTTACAGTGGACAGAGCCTGATTACTTTACACAGCAGGTATGGAAGTACAACCTTAGAACATGACCCAAGTTTAAAGATACAATAGGGGAATGAGACACCTGGAGATATCAGTGCAAGGTAGCTCCAGGTCATGCAAACAAACCATACCTTCAAGAAAATAAGCCCTGGATGAAAGACAGGAGACCTGTTCTTGGCAAGACACAGAGGAAGAGGATGGAGTTTAAAAAACTGAATTGGCCAAACACCACAAAAATTGGACAACAAAGCAGTGTGGAGCGCACTGGCCTGACCACCCATTACTAGCACTAAAAGAAGTTACCTTTAAGAGTAGCACATTATAAAACTAAGTCTACAGCCTTCAAAGGCTCCAAAAGTGCAAAAACACAATTCAATAATTTGAGAAAATGAGAACAGGCCAAATTCGTACCAAATTTCAACAGAGGGATGGAGAACGCTGACTGATACAACACAATAATATTAGACAACGGTGATAATACAAACCAATTGGATAACTAAAAGTCCAGATAACAATAAAACATTTTGAGACATACCTTTTCATCATATGATCAGCCAATCATCGTTACTAATTTGGCCAATGCAGAACTAAGTAGAAACGAGAGTACTGTATAGCAAGGCAAAAAGTGAGGGCTGCCAGCTCTCTAGACCCCTATGTGGTAGTAGTGTGTCCTCTCCTGAGGTAGCAGCCTGTTTATCGGACAGTTATTAATCCATAGTTAGTAGAGCTAACTGGTTTTTCACAAAATTCCAACACTTGCTTACATATGGTGGTGAGTGCATTGTTTATATTTTTGTCTTACAAGAAGTTGCTCGGTGGTGGATTGAGATAAAAACTTCTGCCTCCGTGCACTAATTACTTGACAAGATCATTTGCAAAGCTACTTGCCATGGTTAGGGCAAAAGTCAATTAGAGCCTGACTTGCAAATGGCATCTTTGATGCACCCAGATACTGGCTTGAGGAGCAACCAAGAAACCTTATCTCAGAAGAATGAATTGACAAAAAGTCAAGTAAACTAACTGAAAGCGACATTCCAGTAAGGAGACTGCTTTTATATCAATACATTTATTTTTTAATCATATTGGATTTTTGGTAATTAATATAATTACTCACACTTTAGCCGATAGGATGAAACACTGAATACATTGCATAACAGGACTGTACATGCAGTATGCAAAATGTTAAGTACATAAGCATAACCAAAAATTTCACTGTATACTACCTGCTGCATGAAAAATTACATCATTGACTGTACAACCACCAGCAGGAACTTGCGCCATAAAAACCTCAACTAGGTCATATTTGTTTGTAAATAGGTAAAGAGCCAGAGGTCTCTCTCTACAACAAAAGAAAAGTTAACTTTAGAAGCAAAATGTAGAGAATTGTCAAAGATACAACAGTATGAAATATCAGTAAGAAAATCAGTAAGAAAAATAATGCAGAGAGATATCCAAATATCATAGGACCCCCTAAAAGCAATAAAATAGGTAAAATCTAAAAAATGGGCAGTACAGTATATATATCGTACACCAACACTCCGAGGTATATAAACACCTTAAATTAACCAAGCTATGCATTATATTGTCAAGGATCTTACAGGAAAAATAAGATATGTTAACTAGTCAAGAGTTTTGTTTAACAAAATCATATCATTAGAATAGTAAAACTGGGTTTACTAACATTACAATGCATCACAAATAAATATTTTTTCACCATACAATTCTTAAGCTTATTACATAAACGAGTAAAAAACTTTAAAAGGTGTTAACAAGAACCAGTAAACTCTCATCATTGTTATTTAAGCCAAGTGAATTTCTGCAATGCATAGACAACGGATCAACATTCCGCATCAACCTGGTGCGGAATCTCTCAAACTCTCCATGTTGGACTGCATTAGTTGGGTACACTCCCAAACTAAATAGCACCAACACATGGATCAAGCAACTATATGCTGCTTTGCTACAGTATAGTCTAATTAGATGACCCGTCTACACTCGACACAAAATATTTAAACAAAAAAAATAATGAATCTTGAGAAATGTGTGCAGTTGTATACACACAATGGTAAAAAGAAATACCAAGACAGAATGTGGAGGAAAATAAAATAAAAAAAAAATATTTGAGAAGGTATTTCAGAGTAGAAAAATCACCAAGTGGTATTGTAGTGTGTAAACAAACAATGAGGAAGGATGCCCAGTTTGCAACCCCAACAAGAGTGTTTCCAAGACTATCCAAGTTTGACTGATCTAGTTAAAAACATACTTATCTGAATCATTAGATAGAATCTTACTAATGACGAGTCTGAATGTACTGCATCTAAGCTATTAACACGTACTTCAGCACTGTCAATCTTTTACAACACTGTGTTCAGCAACTTTACCATATTAATTAAAAGACAAACTACATTTACTACCTGGTTCACTACAGGATCCAATACATTTACCATTCTACATACAACATGTATATTTTCACTTTGAATTCTAGACAGTACATATATAATACTTTAATTAGTTTTGTACCCAAAAACCGAACAAATACGCCAAAAGCTCATACATTCAGATTATGGTAAATATTCCAGGTAATGTTCACACACTTCTCATAAAGCCGACAAAATATATTTATAACACGCTACATCCAGTGCCAGCCAAGTGCATGTAAATTCACCACCGAATCACAGAGGGGCACAGACCCAATGCCAAGGAAAACTGGTCCTGCATCTGTTCACAGATGCAGAACCAGGATTTTGGTAGCATCCATGGACAAAGATATTGTTCTTTTACACTACTGTACATGATATTTCATTGAAAATACTGAACATCCTGTCACCCTATTAACTCGAAAGACCAGCAGCTCTTTGGCACAGGTTTCTACTAGTACAAAACCCCAAAGAATAAATATAGAGAGGAATTTTTAGCAAAAGTAGAGCTTAGCATCCTTAAAGTCTTGAGAGTGATGAAATAAATTAAACAAAACCACTCATTTTTAAGGCTAAAAATAAGATCACTGCCTGTTATGCTACAAGTGAGAATGATACAGTAACGCACAAAAGATAAAGAGCCAGTAATGATAAAGTTAAGAGCTATGAAGATGTGTGAGAGTGCTACAAGCAAAGCCTTGATGAAACAAAGAAACCAGAGTCAGGATGAATAAATACTCTAAGAGTATGTAGACTCTACAATCATATATACATGAATGCAATCATCCTTCTACATACACACCGAACCAATCAAATCTGCCTTTGATTATAACATAGCTAATAACTGGCACTACTTTTTTACCAGGTGGCTAGCTTGACACTTTACTTATTACTGGTCGAGCACTATATTGTTGCCCCCCCCAGCGGTGGCCCAGTTTATCGTGTACCCCGTACTCATCCTTACCTAGACCCTTTACGTATCACTAAATAAGAAGCTAGGCTGGTGCACATTGATATCCAAGTCCAATGAGCTTCATTTATAAATCATGCTAGAGTAATGTTGTAACTTCATGACTAAACATGAAATGTATCTTCAAAGTACAGCTCCGTGAAGTGTGTGAACATACGTGAAATAGCTTGAGCAAACTGAATTAGTATGAGCTATGTACAGCAGTACCTGATAAGTGAACCATAGTGTCATTTATACAACAGCCACCACTGCTGGTGCCTTCGAGAAGAAGTTGATGAACACTTTTTAGTGTACTGAAGATATACAATGATAATGGCTTCTCCCTGAGCAAGAATCAATAAAATAATCATTAGCAAAATTGTTAAATACCCAGATCTACCAGCAAACATTTTAATTTAACATGTAACACGTAAGCGATAATAAACGGTGATGGCGTCGTGCATGGCAAGTGTGCCGACTTTCTCTTAGTGCCACTACAGGAGTCCGATATCACCAAGGTTCAGTTTACAATTAAACTCAAAATTGGTGGTTTGCTCACAAACACCATCACTAGCCTTCAGCATAACTTACCAAATGACTTCTTGTGACCTAGTTCATGTGGAGGCAATTGTTAGTTTACTGCTCATGGACTAACTTCCAGGAAAGAAGGGGTTCAATTTCCAGGCTACACCCAATAATGGACCAGGATAAACAAAATTGAAAATTTGCATTGGACAACATAAATGAGGATGTAGGATGCAGTACCTCCCTGCTCACTCAATCGTCCTCATGCTTCCATCCTCAAACTCTCCATTTTAAAGTTACTTATGTTAAGGCTTTGCACTGTATGCATGGTCCATACATACATACATAACATACATACATACATACCATATTCATGAATTTTTCCCCCAAGAAACATTCACGGGTATCCAATACTTTGTAGAACAAAATTCCGCTATTTCCCATTGGGTTATTTTGTGTATGTAAGAATTAAAGTAGCATTATATGCACTGCTCAGAGCTTCGCTTTAGTTAACAACTGTCTGAAATGTTCAAGTGATTGAGGTAATAGCCACTCAAAGTTAAAAGTTAATTCACACAGAATGTGATGCAAATGTTTAATATGTGAAAGTGATTTAAGTTACAGTAATAAGAAGCCAAGTAGTAGAGTAAGAGTAAGAAGAAGAATTAGTAGGCCAAGAATTTTGTTAAAGAGAAACTTCACTGTGATCATTGAAGACAGTTATACTGTGTGCAAAATAGACTTCTGAATGTAAAAATTCTGGTGCTGCTATACGTATTAAGTTATACAAACATCTCTCAATGTCTTACTCTGTGCAGTGATGTGTTAAAATATGTAGTTCTACAATTTGTCACCAAGAGGCTTCATGGCCCAATACCAATAGAGACCAGACCACACACTAAAAGTTGAAGGGACGACGACGTTTCGGTCCGTCCTGGACCATTCTCAAGTCGATTGTCACAATCGACTTGAGAATGGTCCAGGACGGACCGAAACGTCGTCGTCCCTTCAACTTTTAGTGTGTGGTCTGGTCAACATACTTCAGCCACGTTATTGTGACTCATCGCCTGCACCAATAGAGACCCTCCATGCACAACTATATGGAACAAGCAAATACATAAAGGTGTTCTCTAGATATCGCACAAACACCACAAAACCAAAATATTAAAGTAATCCTGTTCGGAGCATACGGTATATAGCAGTTACCTTATAAATAGTAAATACTTTCCATCATGTAATACAACAGCATTACTATTAACAAAATACTGTATACACTTTATGTCTTAAAGTATAGAAACAAGACCATTATTTGCATCCCATCATTAAATAAGGTTATATGTAGCATGCTTTACCACCACCTGTAAAAAACATGAACAACACTCACTGGAAAAATGGACAATACAATCATTAATGCATATACTGCCGGTGAAAATATCTTTGATAAAGGCTTGCTGGACATCTGGCTTTGAAGTGAACAAGTAGCAACACAGGGGATGGTCTCTGCAAGGTCAGATACTTGTCATTGCCACAATCTCACATGCCATAAGTAATCTACATGAACAACAAGTCTAAATCACTTACAAGAAACATATTTACATCTACAGTTTTGACAAACAAAACTATTAAAATGGCTAAGTGGGAAATGCCCTAGCAATAATATAAATTACTGTGTCGGGGGACAGGAAGTAAGAGTGTATTCATACATGTTTGACATTTTTCTTATTGCCCCCCCCCCTCACCAAGGTTGAATTACTAACCCTGCCCAGGATGCAACCCTATAACAAGCTGACTGACACCCGAGTACCTACTCACTGCTAGATGAACAGAGGCATTAGGTGAAAGAAAATGTGCCCAACCATTTCTGTCCTGCCCGGGATTCGAACCCGGAATTCTCGATTGTGCCTCGAGAACGAACCCGACTGTACTACCATGACCCTTTTATGTACACATGTGCGAAATGTATTCTTCATAACTTAGCAATAAGGAGTTTTGACTATGAGAAAATACTGAGGCAATGTGGTAGGAAAAAACTTGCATCCATGGACTTCCTTGACTTCAGGAATAATTATATTTAATGTGGCAATTCAATTATAATATGGAACTTGAATAGTCATTATAAAAGGTAGAGGAAACTAAGCATAAGTACAATATATCCAAATAATATTTCTTTAAAAATGCATAGAAATGCCTAAAGTAAGCAATAATCAGCAAAATGAATGTCTCAACACACTTGATCCTTGTGGATTAATACCAAAACCACTCTAGTGACCAGATTTATTGATATGATTTTTGAGGTGAATTTTAAAAGATATTTTGCTTGAACATTTTTAATGGCTTTAAATACTGTACAGTATTTTGGCATGAAATTATTGTTCTAGCATTTTAATCTGCCACTAAGTAGCAGCACCAAATCTGCAACAACGTTCCCCAACCAGTCATCCACATACTTTCTGACACAAGGAACACTGACACCTGGCGATGGTAAGCATAGGTGGTAAAGACAGGATAACCAGTGGTAAGCGAGTGCCAAAGAGAACTTGGAATGGCTCTTGAGTTCATATGAATCTGCTTGAATGCTCTTCCCTGGCTCCCCAGCCCCCATAATGACCATGCAGAGACATGTCTGAAAATTTGTGTCACTAGTACCAGAATGCTGCTCTGGCCGAGTGTGCATGATCCTGTCCTACAGGCACAGAGCACATCTAACTTCAGGGAGCAACAGTGAAATTGCTCAGCAATATCCTATACTAAAAAGCTTCTCTATGTCTGAGTAATTACAGTAGATTTTTTTAATATTAATACAGTATTGCCATTATCATGACTTTTAGCAATTAAATTTGAATAAGTTAACAATACAAATTTAACATTTGTTGTAATAAAGAATTCTGCAGGGATACTGAACTCTCAGAAAAATTAACATTATGTACTGAAAGCCTCAGGCTTGAATTACCTGTTAATTAGCCAACCACAATTTCTTCTATAAGAACGAAATTTCAGAAATTTGTCCCCTAGTGTACGTGCCCAAGGAATCGTGACGAATCAGGTAGTAAATTAGATTTAAATCGGGTAGTAAATCAGCTGTAAATTTGAACAATTGTTATTTAATCTTTCTTCAGCTCGGTAGTCAACAACATTACTTCCACATTGATGAGACAAATCCACAAGGGCCATGATGAAAGTTCAAACCCTCGTCACGGCCCTTGTGGATTTGTTCATTTGATGCATCACGCTATTGTGATTTGTGTGTGTATTGACGAGACACTTTGGCACGATAACCAATTAAAAAGTAGGCCCATTTTACGTATTAACTAAATATGGACACAAATTTCATTGTCTACTTAAAATTAAAATTGAACAAAATATTTAATTTACCACATATGGAATAAGTGAAGAGCATTTGGAAAAATGATAAGTAAAGTATAAAGAGTTCATGATCATTGACTTTATTTTGTACATGGCAAATTAAGTGTAATACAATCTTACCTTTCATTGATGAATTGTATAGCATCATATGGGGATTCAACATTGATAATGGGTAGAATGGGTCCAAATATTTCTTCAGTCATCACCTGGAAAATCACACATCTTTCATCTTAGCCTCTGCATACAATTAGTCACATTACACATTTGCAGCACTTCAACGAATTTATCAGATTCAAGATGCCAGTTTACAAAAAGGGGTTTCTATGTGGAAATATATGAACATTCCATATTTGGAGGAGAAGCATGCTTTCCATGAAACATGTCAAGCTGGCTAGCTACTGTTCATAATCCAATTATAGGCAGTCATTAGACATATTTTGAGGTAGTTAACACCTTATCAGTTATAGCAATATGATATACAGTAACTATTAACTGCATGAAAGCTGCCACCTTGAAAAATACGAAAAATACATGTAGTGAATGGTGAAACCTCTTCTGACTACTGTATACCTCTGCTATACACTTCCAGCAAACACAAAAAATAAATACATAAGAAAACAAAGGTAACTGCCACACCATAAATAGGAGTGCACTGGTCCGCCTGATCCCACACTGCATATCTTCCATGAACATATTCAAGAAGAATGTGAAGAGTAGGAGGGTCAGGGGACATTGTTATAACAAGAATACTGACTGCTATTTGGTCATATTAGAATGACCAAATCAATGATTTGGTGCTATATGTGCATATGCAGTTGGGAATAGTTAAGTACAGTACTAGGTTTCCAAGCAGGTAGTGGGGTGTTTGGCAATCTTATTTTGTAGTTACATATTATCATAATGAACTCTTTCAAGGAATTGAGGTTTTATGGAACATACCTCTGTTAAGTTATTCCCACGATTAAGCTCATCTTAGTGACCTTATTTTCCATATTCCCCCCCCCCCTACCATCTCTAATGACCTTGCAAGGACTGCATGAAAAGTTACCAGTGTTGCCAGTGACTAGAATGTATCCTACACGACTGATGCTTTCTGTCCAGAGAATACAATGCATATTACATAAAACGGGGTGATCAAATGAAATACCCTGTAACTGTTAATACAGTAGTGTATTACAATGAATCAGTAGAACATGCAATTCATTACCTTGCTTTTTGGAGAGACATTCACTAAAATTGTGGGAGATATCCACCTCTCTTCCTTATTCACATCCCCACCAATCACAGCCTCCCCATCCTTTAGGTACTCTGCTATTCGTCTGAAAATATTCATACATAAATTATTGTTATCCAATTTCCCTTTTTAACACACTCAATCCCCAGTTTCCTACGATCACTCACCACATATAAACATTACCATCGCAGCCTTCTCTTGTGTCTTCTCTTTATATTCACTTAAATGTGTTTTCATCCTACCATCAACCATTCATCCAACATGCATAAACCATCTTAATTCACTTCTAAATCTTGCAAATTACAGACCTTTGCACTCTACATATCTTCATACCATTTTCATTCTTTACAGTACTGGTATCTATTCTCCAAACACAACACATGCTTCTCAAACTGCTCATACTGTACCTACTACTCTTATTCTTGATGTTTCACACTCAGACAATGGGATCATCTTACGTTCATCCATACGGGGGTCAGTATTACTATTCCATCAAGCAGCCGTCTGTACTGATCGCCTCCCAGGTATCCAAGTATCTAAACTGATCGACTGCTTCTAGCACTGGCCCATTCATTTATTTCAAAATTAGTTTTTTCTCTACCTAGTTCACTTTACTTTTGTCCACATTGTTACATGCACCTGTTATCAAGTTCCTCAGTCTTATGTTTTAACAATCTAGATTACACAATAGGCACCATAGAGAAAAACGAGAAGATAAAACAAAAGTTGATAAAAACAAAACTAATTTATTTACAGGACACTATGAACTAAATGAACATGAAGTGTGTGGCTGTACTACAAAATAACATAGGGAAACAAAGGACAAGTAACAGTTAGGATATCAAAGAATTTAAGACTAACCAAAAACTAAACAGCAAAATAGGACTGAAACTGCCACATAAAAATTCTGATTATTCTGATGACCCAAGCCCATTTCAGGCCTTGTAAGCAGATCCAATAAACAGAATGATCTGGAAGGGTTGACTACATTAATCATATAAAACCTTTATATGTGTGCGCGCTTGAGAACACCGGTCTGTGAGGGGGCACTCGTCTAACCATAACCAATCACAACTTATTCAACTATCACTTATAAGAACTCACCACAACTAGCTGCTGCTGTTGCACATAACTATAAACCAATGCTTTTGCTTTCTGGGGCCAGGGCATGCACAGGCCCTATGTACAAAGATAGATTTGAATCAAGTTATAATGAATATACTAGTACTGGTAATTAAGTTTTTTGAATCACAAATGAAAAGTGACAATTAAGTCAAACAAGTCTAAAAATTTAATCATCTTTTCTAATGGCCATGAATCAATGATAGATGTATTTAAGAACTCTGACTACATGAAGCTCTCTAGACCTGTTCCACCACACCGATAAGAACAAATTATTTATTAATAAATTTACACTAAAAGACTCAAATAAACTTGGAAATATCCAAAACTAAATTTCCACACTCTACATCAGAAAGTTACTCACGCGACATGCTTTTCGGACACAATCCTGCATAGATCAGGCGAGCTCTTAGGATCTTCACCATACCATTCCTTCAGAACATCTCGTGCCTTATCCACAAATTTCTTCTGCACTTGTTTAGAGCACAGAACATAATCAGGTGCAATGCAAGTTTGGCCAACATTTATACATTTTCCCCACAGGATGCGTCGAACTGCAACATCCATGTCAACACTGTCATCAATGTAGAGTGGACTGAAAGAAATAATCAACACATGTATGGCTCGTCAATTTTACATTAAGACTAAAGATTTATACACCTAACAAAACATTTTTGCAGATATAAGTCTGCAGTCAGCAAGTTTATATTGCCATAGTTAGTATTTAGAATATAACGTATGGGAAAGTGTAACTTAAAATGTCAACTACATATTATAACTAACAGCTTTTCCTAACTATACAAGAATGTTACAAATGACTGACTACACAATGTACTTTGACTTTTAACGTCACTTTGGTAGCCCTTGATAAATAATACACTACTGTAATCATTTCCTTCAAATTAAAACTGTATTTAAATATTAGTATGATCTCATTCAAGCATGTTTTGCTTGCTAACATTTAATTAATATTGGATCAACGATATCAATGTTTTATTCACAGGGATATTCATTGTTTTTATTCAGGGAGCCGGTCGGCCGAGCGGACAGCACGCTGGACTTGTGATCCTGTGGTCCCGGGTTCGATCCCATGCGCCGGCGAGAAACAATGGGCAGAGTTTCTTTCACCCTATGCCCCTGTTACCTAGCAGTAAAATAGGTACCTGGGTGTTAGTCAGCTGTCACGGGCTGCTTCCTGGGGGTGGAGGCCTGGTCGAGGACCGGGCCGCGGGGACACTAAAGCCCCGAAATCATCTGAAGATAACCTCAAGATAACAGTTATATGAATTTCCCAATTGACAACCTTTGCCCATAAGAAAATAACAGTATGACAACTGACACCTAATCAGGATAAGTTGGTCCGATTTTCTCCCCTTTTCTCTAACATCCCTTCCGCATACGACTTATTAATGTTCGTAGCCAGCATATTCATTCAAGTTTTTATTCCACAGCAGGCCTTTCCATATATTTTTCAAGAACTGTACATAATGTATTGGGAAGATCCTCATTATCTGTTATGTCTTCTGTCTTTTGTGATGTATCTAATAATGTCATTAGAATTAGAATAATTATTATTGTTTGCACTGTCTTTTTCATTTATTCAGTAACATGTCATAATGGACCTAGCCATTTTTATTATACAGTGTATAACTTAGTTATATTGATCAGTGTTGTCAATTAGTTTTTATTTATTTTTATAAATCAGAAATGAACTTTACATTTTTTAAACCAAGTCGATTATAAATGTATAACCATTTGTGAATAAAGTTTTGAATATGAATTTAATTTGAATTAAAAACAATTTTTAAATTGCAATACACTTATCATTACATTATATTTGTTTAAATAGTCTCCTCAATAAGAAAGGCCAAGAGTCAATCATACTGCTATTCTTGCATTGCAGTGTGAAATGAAACATACATGCCACTACTGTTTTACAGTAAATCACTGAACAATTGCTAAAGTATAAATTTGACAGGGAATATGGCTTGAGTTATAACAAGTACATATGCGATTCATATATTTATATACCTTTTTCCACCTAATTCAAGTGTAGTAGGAGTAAGATACTTGTTGGCAGCGTCTCTCACAATCTTGCCCACCTGGGGTGAGCCAGTGTAGAAAATGTAGTCAAAACGTTCTTTCAACAACTCCGAAGTTTCAGCAATTCCTCCACACACGACATGGAAACAATCCTGTAATACATGGCATCTCTAAAGCAAAATACTGTACAAATACAAAACAGATTCACATTTATTCTTAAGACCATTGTTCCTAATTAGAGTATACAATTTTTTGAATACATTATATCTTAAAAAGATTAAATTCTTCCAATCTACATTTTCTCTAGAATTAATATAATTATTGTATAATAAATTTGCTACTGTGCAATAACACTATCCACAATATTATGAAGGGTATTAGGCGACAAACACGAAGGTCATCACGGCTTCCAGATAATTTATTCCGACTTAACTACAGCATACCACTAACTATTTATTCCAAGGGTAACTAATTCTTTAACCCGACCTACATAGACTAAATACTGCTGTGTTCTTTTATATACGCTTTCTAGCTGAGGATGCCCAGTTCAACTTGGTAAATGTATCAAACCAGTTATAGGTGTAAAATGAACTTTGGAAAATTAATTTTCTAGAGTCCTTCTCAAAAAATGAAAAAATGAAATAGATAAGAATCTATTAATATTAAATAGCTGAAATAAATTAACCTATGAAATAGAGAAGAATAATGCCAGAATCACTGACCTAGCTCTATTAGTCATACTCAATCACACATATCTACAAAAACAACTACCAGAATATATTACATACATACTGTAAATTATACCTGTACTGCATATACTTTTCAATGGAATTGTGTAAATACTATAGTGTAACGTTACTCAATACTGTAGATCAAGCAACACCAAGGTAGATCAAGGGAGCCGGTCGGCCGAGCGGACAGCACGCTGGACTTGTGATCCTGTGGTCCCGGGTTCGATCCCGGGCGCCGGCGAGAAACAATGGGCAGAGTTTCTTTCACCCTATGCCGCTGTTACCTAGCAGTAAAATAGGTACCTGGGTGTTAGTCAGCTGTCACGGGCTGCTTCCTGGGGGTGGAGGCCTGGTCGAGGACCGGGCCGCGGGGACACTAAAGCCCCGAAATCATCTCAAGATAACCTCAAGATAACACCAGGCATATACAAAGCAGAAATATAAATTTGGGGAATATATTTGTTTTATATAATATGTCTACAATTCCATTCAAAAATTTGCATTTGAATTTTTTCTTGAGTGAATCTGGCAAAAATTTGCCAGTTATTTAAGTATTAAACTGGATATATTTTTAGCCATCAAACTGTGTCAAACAGGATTCACAAAGTCAGTCAGGATGACTTTAGGCACTGATGCCACAGGAAACTTTTCAGACATTTCCCGAGGGGTAATAAGGCTAAAGGGATCAAAGAAACCCTAAATTCAGTCCAGAATAGCCATCAGAAGTACAGCCATGATGACTCAAAGCTTTACCAAATACTGTACTCATTTGTCATCATATGTAAAACCAAGTGAAAATTCATAACTGTTAATTTGCCTGGCCAACACAGCACTAGGTAGCAGCACTGATACCTACCCAGATATTGTTACAACCTTCCCTGACTGTATTCATATTCAATAAGCAGATAGAAACTGCTCGAGTCAAGTGACTCACTCATGCATCAAGACATTGTGACCTATGCTCCTTCTATATACATGTTCACTTCATCTGTGCATATTAATAAGTACTTATGTATCCCTTAATTTTCCTCTGATGGTCAATCTGGAAAGGCTTCAACTTTTCTCCAGTGCCTTCCTAGCATCTTATATGACTCGGTGTGAATATTTTAAAGTTTTTGAGGGTGCCAGAGTCTACAGAAACATTGCTGTGCGTGATTGGCTTCTTTACCTTTAGGATCTGCTCGGCATAGTTCTGCTCAGAAAACTGCTTTTCATACTAACTTACTTTTTAATAGCTATAGAAGAAAATAAGTCACAATAACATGACAAATAACACAATCTACACATGAAATAAAGTGAAATTGATGCTGCTTTGGTCCATCCCGGACCTTTATAAAGCCATGACAAGGAAGAGTTGGAGGTCAGTATAAGGCAAGAAGGAGGGTGATTTGATAAAGATCCAGAATGGACCAAAGTGTCATCACTTTAATTTCATATGTGTAGGTTAGGTTATTACATACCAGACTATATTTTTGTAACTTTTGAAGCTACTTACTTTAAAACAAATTTCTTGTTAAAATCTGGCAATCTTTGCCTTATCCGTTTCATACCCAATATAATTTTCAAGCTTTTCAGCAATAGCTTCTTTTAAATGTTTACCTTTTTAATGACAGGGTCTAGCATAAATTAACATTTATCTGATACAGTACACACCAAAATGATTGCTATTTACCTAAATGTTTAGAGTATCAAACCCCCTCCAATCCATGCATTTCCTTATTCAACAAATAATTTCTAAATTCTTAAAATTTATAAACAACCTTTAAAGCTTAACCAAGAAAACAAACATATCATTACAGTTCAGAGCAAATCACACGAGTGTGTGCGCATACGAAATGATTAATAGCAATTTGGCGGTAAAACAAAAATTGATTACATACATTATCCAAATACTTGGGGATCAGTTCAGCAATTAATTCTGCTGTTGCAGGTGATACTTCCGATGGTTTCATGATGACACAGTTCCCAGCAGCTATAGCACCTGTGATAGTGAAGTGAAAATTACAAATTCAGATTAAAGAAACACTCTAGAAACAATTTTCAGAATCACTATTGCCACATTTCAAAGTGACATCCATAAACAGGGGTGAAATAAAATAAAGAAGGAACAGTAGAAATAAATTGGGAATAGGGAGGAAAGGCCTAAGTAAGGAATAAAGGCAATTTATAGCAAAAATATTAGTGACAAGAACGCAAACTAGCTGAGCAGTGTCGGCAACTACAGTAGTGAACATCCAAACTGTCATCAAAAAATAGTCAGACAAGGTATTTTATCTGATTAGCATCAGGAAAGACAAGGAAGTAAGAATATGAATAGCAAGATAAGTTAGATGGTCAAAATAAAAATAGAGAAGATATAAAACGTATAAATGTAGTGGAACCTTGATTTAACGAACATCAATCCTGCAGATATGAACTAGGGTATGAAGGATTAGGGTATGAAGGATCTCTTAATATAGCTCCAATCATGTTTCTGATGATTTTTGTAGATAGACTCAACATTACAAGAAATAGTTGGAGCCCTGAGCCTATTGGTTAAAACCAAATTCTATGGTTTGCTTTCAGTTTGAGTTGGCAAGGTTTTTGTTCACTCAGGAATGGCTCTGCTACCCTTTTGAAAATGAGTTTTGAGGCAAGGGTCGAGAAATAAGACATATGTGGTTAAATGTATAAACATGCAGACATGTTCATTTGGTCAATGTCTACTACATTATAGGTTGAAAATAACATTTTGCCATGTGAAATTAGCCCATAGGGCATGGGAAATGCATCCTAGAGGCATCTCCAGTTGCAACGAATCCCTCAACGCAACAAATTGGGGATGGTCCCATAGAGTTTGTTGAATCGAGGTTGTACTGTACAAAAATCTGGTGCCTGCCAGCTACCACAATACAAGGTCAGCAAAAGACCAGCAAGGTGTACATAAAAATTAGATAGGAAAATACTAATATAAATAAACAATTTGAAACTAATACAATTAATTAGTTTAAAATTAGGCAGAAAAGCATGTTTTTATTGCATATTTCAACATAATCAGAGTGGATTGAAGCTGCTTTTGTGTACCTTTATCTCTTAAGTGGTTAAAAAGCAAAATGAAGGCCAAAGAGTGAGATATCAGAGGAAAAGAAAACAATCAATTAAACCAGATAAATCATTAGGTAACAGAAAAGAACAGAGTATTGAACAGATACTATGAAAACAAGGAAAGGAACCTTAGGTAATGCCTGATAGTACATCAAGCAAGCCAATATTTGAATAATTAAAAAAGCACCATGGACATGACATTTCCTCTTGCCTATTTGTTTTATGAGGTATTGCTCAGTAGATCGTTTGTGTGTTATTTAGGCTTGAGGACAGGTGCAGAATTTAGTCAATTTTCGACATACTATTTTTCCAAAACATGATATGCTTATTATTTTACAGCCAGTTTCCCAGCAGCACTAAGACAAACAGTGAAGGCCCAGTGCCCGAGTGTGCCACCCTGTGCAGGAGGGTGCCCTTATGTATTTTGGAGAGTGAATGCAAATAATTTTACACACACAGGTAACTAAAATGTAACATATTTAACTAATTTATTTGTTTACCTGATACTGGGAGGAGAGGAAGCTGGACTGGGTAGTTCCATGCTCCCATGATGAGTACTACACCATAGGGGTCATGATAAATCACAGGCTTGTCGAACAAGGTTACGAGGTTGGGTGATAACTGTTGGAGACAATGTCTTGTTCAGAAAAGACTATATTAATCAGACATATAATACAGTACTGTATTTCAGTCATCATAAAAAATAACAAATCAAGGGCATTTAATGCCTCTTTGGACCCAAGAGTGAAATGTAAATAAATATATAAATATAATTTAGAATATAATTCATAAACAAACGATACTGTCCACTTACTGTTTCTGGTTTCACCCAACCATCAATACGGGCAAGAATATGCCTAATATCATCTTTCAGAAGGTTTAGCTCAAGCAGTATACTCTCTTGTTTTGGCTATTGTGAGAGGAAAAAATCTATCAATACACCGTAGAATTAACTTGGTTAAAATTATACTGTTTTCTCTTGATCACTTCACACACACATGTAGTCACATCACACTAAGGCTGCAATAACTCACCTCATCTAGCAAAGTCTTAAAAGTGATGTCTGTTCCTAATCATACATCTTATTCTGCCAATTTTCCAATCAGCACTTTCTCAATAAAGTAGTTATTTCTCCATTTCTCCTGCATCTTACCAGCCACTAAACAATTCCACTTCCTCTCTTCATACTCTAGTTCAACCTTTTCTTCATACTAATACCATATACAGTACAGTACTATATATTTATTTTGATTTCAACAAACAGTACAGCACTCATTCATACCATCATTTAAATATCTTTCTCTACCACACAAGTCATTTTCTCTATTACTGTACTGTACAGTGTTTTCACTATTTCTGCATTTGATCATGCACTCACTCACACAACATAACTTCACAACACACACGAAACAATTTCTTTTTCTATATAATATTGATCATTTTCATTTCTTTTATATAATTTATTTCTTTGTTCACTCACCTGTCAGAATAAATAAAACTTAGGTCATAATATGAAAGATATGTTTTTCATAAACATCCACCGTTTTATCCAGTCAACATTATTCCAAAAGCTACTGATCATAATCGACAAAGCAAGATATACCTACCTTATTCAGATCTTTCGCCAAAGCAGTGCAAAATGCAGCCTCATTTTCTTCGTACATTCGCTTTAGGGCTTTTAACTGCTTCTTTCGGAATTCAACATCTCTTGTTTTACCGGACATAAAAGCCTCACGGGCCTTTTGAAGAATCTGTTAAAAGAATGTATTGTTTAGAATGGGATACAAACTCTAGACACAAAGAACAATTTCAGAACTGCCTCAGCGATCTGATCATTACATAAAAATTATGAGAGGGTTGAATTAGACGAAACATTTTTTAGACACAAAATCCGAGGACAAGGGAATGAAGGTTCAAAATGTGAAAACAAAGGTGTCAAAAACATGTATGGACATTGTGTTTTGCAAACAGTGTAGTTGATGGATGGAATAACTTGAATGAAAGGGTGGCATATGACAGCACCATTAGAAGCTTCAAAACCATGTGGCAAGACTAAGACTGAACACTGTGGGCCCAGCCATCCTTCTCTTGCTACACTTTAGTAATTATAGTGGATTCCAAATATCAAAAGCATTGGAAGGCTTCCATTCAGGTCAGCGTTCAATCCTCGACCATCCAAGTGGTTGGGCACCATTCCTTACCCCCCATCCCATCACAAATCCTTATCCTGACCCCTTCCAAGTGCTATATAGTCTCAATGGCTTAGCACTCTCTTGATACAGTAGTTCCCTTCCATTCAGGTCAAATTGTTACCCGTAAGTGGGGACAGGAAGCCTACAAGTTTCCTGTCAATTTAGGTATCTATTTAGATTCACTGTGTTTCCCTACAACAACTACAGCCATTTCCCACTATGCAACCCACAACAGTTATGTAACTCCCAGGTGCTGCACATATTTACTGCTGGGTGAACAGAGGCAACATATGAAAGGGAACATTGCCCAAATGCTTCTATCCTGCCATGGGAATTGAACCCAGTTCAAAATAGGTTTTTCTTAATGTTTACCTATTAACTATGTAGGGTAATGTGGTTCTGCCACCCCTTTATAAAAATAAAAAATTCCCATGTAGACTAAGTACAGTACTGTATATACACTAATCTTCAATTTAAAAGATCTCTAGTAACAACAATAATCAGGCCAAAAAAGATAAGAGAAAGATGATATATAACAGGGGAAAACCGATTGTGAAAATTTGGAGTTGTTGAACGTGAAGTATGGTAATGACTCCAGTGTGGTTTCAGGAATGAAAAAGAAAATCAGGGTTTGAGTGACTAGAAAGACCTTTTGTGAGCAAGACACTAAAATAAAGCAAAATCCCTTCCGATCCCACTTAACTGATCATGAGTCATGAGACGTTCGCTGTTTCATCAGGAACAACTATGTTGTTTAATGTTTTCTACAGTTCAGATGGCTGACCATCATGGTATGACCATCATGGTATGGTATGGTACCAGTCAGCATATACCAACTGCATCTCTAGAGATGAAGACTCTCCTCCCCTATGGCTCCATCTAGCACCACTCTCCAGCTCAAGTTTCATCAATTTATGTCTCATAGTTTTTTTTTCAGAATAATGTAATCTATCCTAAAGAAGCACCAGAGTAGTAAATAATACAAATAAGGCTGTGTGTGTTAATTCAAATCCAATTTTTAAATAAGGTACAGTACAGTACTCGGGGTTCCTCCCAATCCCTTCTTTTTTTGTCCAAATTTTCCCTGCACTCGGAAGTGCTAGTCAGATGAAATGTGAGGTTGGCTTAAACCAGACTACCCTATACACATGTAGGTCCTGACATCTGGTGGTGGCTGAAAATAACGGAGCACTCATTGGTGGCATATCTGATGCCAAATGGTATATTAAAGGTCTTGGAATATAGATTAGTGAATCTTCTCTAGGTCATTTTTGGCTAAATAAAGACTTCTACAGCATCTCCCATGACCCAACAGGATTGTTTGAAGGATCTCTGGTGTGTGTCAGGGGCTTAATGTCAAACTGCCCAGTGTTAAGTTGTTTATGGGTAGAAACGGATATTGATTAAGGAAGCAACTTTATGCCCTGCCTAGCAACAAACTATCTCCACTCAAATGCTTATCTGGCCTTTTTATCATAAAAACAGTAATCATTATACTGTACATTTTGATTATTGGATGCAATGGAGGATAAGATACAGTGGAAGAGGCCTGGAAACAATTGGTTCATTTCAGAAGGAATCTACAGTATGGTATACCATACTTGTTTATTGTAATTATTAAACAAATTCAACTGCATCCAGGTACCATATTGTAAGTCATGATAACTTACTGCTTAAGATAAAATAAAGTACACGTAACAAAATTGATCATGTAAAGCATGCAGCCTTGTCACCATGATATTGGCAGTTTGTTCTATGTGACCTTGTGCTCCCAGATATGATAGTAACTAATCAGTAAGCATCACTTAACTTGCCAGAAACTGACAATACTGTGAACATTTAGCTCTACCTAAAATTTTTATGAATACTGTACCTAATAATTCATTGTGTTGAGGGGACATGCAGCCAGTATGTACTGCATATACATATTAGGTTTATACCAAGGTCAGAAGGTCGAACTACTGACCCTCCCCAGGATGTATCCCCACAAGCTTACTAACTCCTGGGTACCTATTTACTGCTAGGTGAACAGATGCAATAGGAAACCAACCCAACCATTTATGTCCTGCCTGGGATTTGAACCCAGAATTCAAAGTTCACACTTAAGAATTTTGAATCGAGATAAAACTGTACTACCAGAAACTTAATGATTTATTATTGCTATTGATTTATTAAGGGGTGGTAAACTTATTAATGGTTTATGACAATCAGAGAACTCATCTCTAACCTGCAATTAAAATTACCTAGACTATCAAATTTCTTGAAAACTCTGCTTTTTGCATACTGGTGAGCTTTCATATACAAATTCCCATGAATGTGCAATACATTACAGTACTTTTTTTTTTTTTTTTTTTTGAGATATATACAAGAGTTGTTACATTCTTGTACAGCCACTAGTACGCGTAGTGTTTCGGGCAATTCCTTATTCCTATGGTCCCTGGAATACAACCCCCACGAAGAATCGTTTTTACAACCAAGTACCCATTTTACTGTCGAGTTAAACAGAGGCTACAGTTAAGGATTTGCACCCAGTAAATCCTCCCCGGCCAGGATACGAACCCATGACAAAGCGCTCGAGGAACGCGAGGCGAGTATCTTACCGCTACACCACGGAGACTGGTGTAAACTTTGAAACAAGGAACAGTTATAATTTTTAATATAGTATTTAACATCTTCAAAAAATAAAAAGTTTCCAAAATAAGGCCCTAAATATCACATTCATAATAGAGAAAGAATATCGATAAAAGTAGCAAAAGAGCTAAAGGCTTCTCACAAGTAACATGCGAAGGTGTAGGAATACCAGTCAGCATGTACAGTACTGTACTGAATTCACAATTTATTGTAGCCAATTATAGGTCCAGCACATTACCTAAATTTACCTGTGGGCCACTAACACTAATGGCCTTGATGAGGACAGGAAGCCAGCAGCTTTTCAAAGGTCGCCCATTTGTTCTGATGATTTTTTCAAACTTGTATTTTAAAATCCAGAAGAAGGAATGAAGAAAGCTCATTGACCTAAATTCATTGACCTATAAATTATACAAATATTTGTCCCTTCTTAGTGACTGACATTTGCCATTTTCTTGTTACTAAGTACTGTACCAACTGATTATCTGGAAAGCACCCACCTCTCTCTCTGAAACTTAAAATACAAAAACTTCCCATGGAAACTAAATGCAAATTTATTAAGGATTCATGAAATTCTATCATGTTTGAGAAAAGAAATTAATTTCTACCAATTCTTATAAAATTTACATCTCACAAGGCACTAAGAAAGTTACTATGGTATCAGGAATCCTCACCTGTTGATTGGAAGTCATCTTATCTCCCATAGGCCTAGCCTAATGTTGAGCCTGAAAAATAGAAAAAAATTAATAACACATTTTGTTACACTAAGAAAAATAGCTATACAGGTATATTCTTCCTTCTCAATTTTTATAGTTACATAACGATAGTGAATCTGAGGGCAAGATTAAAAAAAAATTGTGTATATGAAAAGGGTAAAATACAGCATGCACGTAAATACAGTACTGTACACTAAAGCCCGTCAAGACCCATATTCATCTTTATTTTACGTCCCGAGTTTCTCTCTCGCAATTCCTCCAAATTTTTGCAGTCTTATATCACATTTGTCAGCATTACAGTACTTTTATCCACTGCTACCTTATTAACCACCAGCAATAACAATACTTGTACTGTACTGTACTCTGATACAAGACAAAGTTATTCTCCAATAACGACACACAACATTTTGTTTAACGTTTAAATAATGTTTAGATGTTAGATCATGAGATAATGTCTCATGATCTCAGGTTTTGCAAACACTGACAGTAAATTTGTAACATGCCATTATTATTATAGTAGATAACCTAGCAGTAAATAGGTACCCAGGAGTTAGTCAACATATTGTGGGTTTGCAGCCCTGAGGAGGGTCAGTACATTCATCAGGGTAACCTCAGACCAAGTTAACCCCAGACTGAACCACATGGCTACAATGCCATAGCTGAACAGCACCAACACACAAATTCTAAAACAAACTCGGTGGGTAATTACAAGGAAACGGCCCCTTTACGTTATCTGACCGATAAATTGTTAGGCCAGAAGAATGTAGTCGCAGCCGACAACCTTAATCATCATGGACGAAAAGTAGGTGACCAAAGGAGGAAATCCGTAATTGAAAGAATTCTAGACAATTCGCAACCGACAACCGTAATCATTATGGACGAAAAGTAGGTGACCAAAGGAGGAAATCCGAAATTGAAAGAATTCTAGACAATTTGTCTAGAATTCTTTATGGAAATCCGGGGTAGTAATGACAGCCGAGCAGCAAAGTTACAGTGTGCAACTTTGCTAGCCAGTGAGGGACATAGTCTCCACCACTCACTACACCAGATAATGTGCCCATCTGTGAGACACTAGGAAACATGCTTAGTATAATAAACCACCACACTGCATTAAGAAAACACTTTTTGTCACAGTACTTTAGATAATGGCCAAAACAGGTTCCCCCACTTTATGCCAGGATGACAAGGTAAACTTGACGGGTTGCAAGATAATAATTAACATGTGAATCCCTTGTTTGACAGTGTGTCCACTTGTAACAGTTAATTAAGAGTCCCAGATATGTTTGGTAACAAGTAACAGGTTGTTAAGCCCGTGGGTTGTCCTCCTCTTGAAGGGGGACAAGGAGTGTCCTCCAAGGAGTGCCGGACCAACCGGGCTGTGGTGGGTATGTGGGCCTGCGGGCCGCTCCAAGCAACAGCCTGGTGGACCAAACTCTCACAAGTCGAGCCTGGCCTCGGGCCGGGCTTGGGGAGTAGACGAACTCCCAGAACCCCATCAACCAGGTATCAACCAGGGGAGGGGAGAAAGAGGAGTAGAGTATTATACATGCTTCTATAGCAGTACCTTCACTCGCACTATAAGTGACACTACCCACTAAACTTTCCCCTCTGGAGCAAAATTATTACACATTAATATAGTGAATTCCTCGGTGATATAGCCTTTAGCGAGTAGATTATACCAATACTCTCTCCAAACTCATTAGCTTAATGAGAGTAGCCAAACTCTCATTAGTAGTAATGAAACTCACAAACGAGGGAACTATTCCTTTTAACGACCATAGAGGCTTAAACTGAGTGAGAATCACCAGCCAGAAACACCTGCCAGCCAGAGTGTACAGTGATAGTGTAGTGGTGGAGGAGACACACCCTGGCCTAGCAACACGGAAGTTGCTGTAGGGATGAGTGTAGGAGGCCGCCACCCTCCCTGGCCTACCCTCACCCTCACACTATTAGTAATCAACTTTAGAAAGTGTGGGAGTACTGACGAGTGTGTGTGTGGGGGGCGACGTCCTCTTCACTCTCAGGCTGACCTAGACTGTGGCGAGGTGTTGTCTTCCCGGCCATCACCACCCCGCCCGACCCCATCCCTCCCCCGCTAGCCAGCCCCTCCATCATCTCCCTCCCTCCCCTCCCCCACTAGCAAGCCCCTCCATCATCTCCCCCCCCCCCCCACTAGCTAGCCCCTCCATCATCTCCCTCCCTCCCCTCCCCCACTAGCCAGCCCCTCCATCATCTCACCCCCACTAGCCAGCCCCTCCATCATCTCCCTCCCGCACTAGCCAGCCCCTCCATCATCTCCCCCCCACTAGCCAGCCCCTCCATCAGCTCCCCCCCCACCACTAGCCAGCCCCTCCATTATCTCCCTCCTCCACTAGCCAGCCCCTCCATCATCTCCCTCCCCCACTAGCCAGCCCCTCCATCATCTCCCTCCCCCACTAGCCAGCCCCTCCATCATCTCCCTCCCCCACTAGCCAGCCCCTCTATCATCTCCCTCCCTCCCCCAATAGACAGCCCCTCCATCATCTCCCTCCCCCACAAGCCAGCCCCTCTATCATCTCCCTCCCTCCCCCACTAGCCAGCCCCTCCATCATCTCCCCCCCCCCACTAGCCAGCCCCTCCATCATCTCCCTCCCCCACTAGCCAGCCCCTCCATCATCTCCCTCCCTCCCCCCCCACTAGCCAGCCCCTCCATCATCTCCCTCCCCCACTAGCCAGCCCCTCCATCATCTCCCTCCCCCACTAGCCAGCCCCTCCATCATCTCCCTCCCCCACTAGCCAGCTCTTCCATCATCTCCCTCCTCCCCACCAGCTTCTCCATCACCCCTCCCCTTCCAGCTATGGCAGGTGGCTGCAGGTAATGCATTCCCCCAATGGTAAACATTCCAATTGTAAACTAAGTGAACAAGAGCTGGGACATGCTCTCCAACACTATATCTGTGACTGCCCTTAAGGTGGTTACCTTGAGGTGCTTCGATCCGGGGCTTAGTGTCCCCGTGGCCCGGTCGTCGACCAGGCCTCCTGGTCGACCTGTTTTAAGTGACCACACCAAATGGTATATGAGGTACTTATTTCATACACTCAGGGGATATTGGAAGATAAGAATATGCTGTACCCAGATTTTGCTAGTGGAGGGTAACAGATCATCAGCCTTACACTTTATGTTCTCACGTGATTTTTAGTCATAGTTGATTTGTTTTTGTATTGAGACTGGTATTTTCTCCCCTGATTCCGTGTATGACTAACCATCCTCTGAGATGGGAATAATAGTTGAACCTATAGCTAGTTCTTGATCTACACTGTGTAATATCTCATACTGAATGTTGTTGTTATACATTCAGCTACTCGGAACAAGTTCCAAGTAGCACGAGCTATGGTGAGCCTGTAACTTACCTGGCACAGGAGCGGGGCAAGTAGCATGGGCTATGGTGATCCCGTCGTGGACTTACCTGGCACAGGAGCGGTGCTGAGGGGGGGGGGGGTCCTGCATGCAAACTCTGGCATAAGTATGTATACCCAAGTATACCCAAGCTGGGGAGGGGGGGGGACGCCGCACATCAAGAAAGAAATTAACAATAGCTAGAGGTCATTGTTCCCACTCACGGAGAACGTGCGATTTGTATCGTACCTCCTAAATGTCAACTTATGTCTTGCTATTATTCTTGCTATGATCCGTTCTACTTCGACTCATAAAAATGAAATACAAATGTTTATTCTAAAAGAATGTGTGTGTACAAAGAACATAAGAGTAATGTACAATTGTAGGGACAGTTGCAGGAATTATATATAGAGCGCTATGTCATGGGTTCGTATCCTGGCCGAGGAGGATTTACTGGGCGCAATTCCTTAACTGTAGCCTCTGTTTAACGCAACAGTAAAATGTGTACTTGGATGAAAAAACCGATTCTTCGCGGCAGGGGATCGTATTCCAGGGACTTGCCCGAAATGCTACGCGTACTAGTGGCTGTACAAGAATGTAACAACTCTTGTATATAAAAAAAAAAAAAAAAAAAAAAAAATAGTTGCACAATCTATGAAGTCACTATTACAGAAAAGCGTTTCGGCCAAAATATATAATTCCTCGACCCTCACGTCATCCATCCCCGCCCCCCCCCCCTCCCTCATCCATGAACTTCAACTATTTGTCATTAAACTTCATGTTCTGAAGCAATAATCATCTCCAGCTATAATTCATCTTTTCCTTCTCATCCACCATCTCCTACGTCTCAGTCTCTCTCATGGACATTACCGAAAAAACTAGGTACCTTTTTTTAGGCTTTGCGATTTTTTTTAAGTTGGGTAACAATAAATAACACCAGAATTCTTTTATTAATAAAAAATAAAAAGTTTTGATCCGTTCGAAGGACGCAGAGCATTCATTTATACATGTGATCATGCAGTGAATTTATCCACTGCTGCTAATTAAGATTATATATTCGCTACTATGATATGGAGCAGCATAATTTTTGTCTCTTTTCACCTATAAAAAGTGAACACGAAAAACAATGAATCACAATAAGAAGTATGAAATATAGATCAACCATAGAAGTCAATAATGGTCAACAACAAACTAAATAGAAAACACCAGAAAGTGCACAAAAAATAAACTGTAATAAGTAAATAAGAAACGACAAATAATCATTGTACAAAAGAATACAAGCAAATAACGAAACCAAACATGATACGCAAGTCACCAAAAGCAAAAAAAAATCACTACCACCAAGTCACTAGTGAAAAGGCAATTGTGGGCTGCTCAAGGACATCAATATACACTTATGGTTCAAGCTTGACGAGCCGACATCTGAACACTCCACCTGGGAGCCGCCAGATCACGTTCTATTTCTTGATTTTGGATTTAATACTGCCGTTTAGCATTCTTCTTCAGCAGTCCGTATTGTTACGACGCCTTGGGTCACAGGAGAGAGACAGATTTTGAACGTTTTCTGGCTGGTTCTCCCGGCGGGATGACGGTGTCCGGCGCCGGCTTGGCCGAGAGGTGCCGGGAGTTGGCGGGTCTTGGTGGGCTCCTTGTGGGTCCTCAGCCGTGGTGGGCTCCTGGTGGGTCCTCAGCCGTGGTGGGCTCCTGGTGGGCCGTCAGCCGTGGTGGGCTCCTGGTGGGCTCCTGGTGGGCTCCTGGTGGGCTCCTGGTGGGCCCCTGGTGGGCTCCTTGATGGGCCCTCAGCCGTGGTGAGCTCCTGGTGGGCCCTCAGCCGTGGTGGGTTCCTGGTGGACGGCTGGATTCTGCTCTGCCAGAGGGCACTGGGTGACTTTTGCGTTTTAGTTTTAGTCCCCACCTCACAGAGAAACCCAATGATCTCTGTGTGAGGTGGGGACGGTGCTTGTCACCCTGACGGACTCCGGGGCTCTGCAATCATCTGTGCGTTTTTCTGTCGCAAGGCATATTAGTTTCCGGTGACAAGAGTCATCAGTTTCGCCATTAGGGCTGGCAATTAACCCTTACGGGTACACCGGGGCGCATCCGATCACAAGTTCGTCGTCGCCCCTACATTAACAATATGCACTTATAACTTTGCATCACAAACCAACTCATATCGCAGTATCAAAATCACTAACGAAACCAAAGTGGTTTGCCCACTACCACATTACCTTATCCCTATCCTTACAAGATTTCCTGTATCTTCATCTTACTGGCTTCCAATACTCCCTCCTTACCAGTAAAGATATCCTGATCCTGACTGGAGTATTGCCGTCTTATGGAGACTGTATGGCACCATACAGTCCTTGAATCAAATTTCCACACATTGCAAAAGGGTGTGTAATGGTGTAAGCTTCTCCTTTATGCAAAAGCGCCTAGCGAACATTGAACGAGGAAATGCAAGATAGAGTGAAGACCTGTGTAGGGTACTCACCTAATTGTGCTTGCGGGGGTTGAGCTTTGGCTCTTTGGTCCCGCCTCTCAACTGTCAATCAACTGGTGTACAGATTCCTGAGCCTACTGGGCTCTATCATATCTACATTTGAAACTGTGTATGGAGTCAGCCTCCACCACATCACTTCCTAGTGCATTCCATTTATTAACTACTCTGACACTGAAAAAATTCTTTCTAACGTCTCTGTGGCTCATCTGGGTACTAAGTTTCCACCTGTGTCCCCTTGTTCGTGTCCCACCCGTGCTGAAGAGTTTGTCTTTGTCCACCCTGTCAATTCCCCTGAGAATTTTGTAGGTGGTTATCATGTCTCCCCTTACTCTTCTGTTTTCCAGGGATGTGAGGTTCAGCTCCTTTAGCCTTTCCTCGTAGCTCAATCCTCTCAGTTCGGGGACGAGCCTGGTAGCATACCGCTGAATCTTCTCTAACTTTGTCTTGTGTTTAACTAGGTATGGACTCCAGGCTGGAGCTGCATACTCCAGGATTGGTCTTACATAAGTGGTATACAGGGTTCATACAGGGTGTGGAGGACCTTGTGCAAGTGACCCAGTTTGGTCTTGGGCCAAACAAAAAACATAACCCTCCAGAGCTTATCAACCTCTGGAGGGTTATTAAGCTGCCACAATTCCTTACTGACCAACCAGCAAGAATACTTTATTTCTGGACAATGTTTAGGACTAAAGTAATCTCAGTGCATATACACTGAAAAAATGGGGTACACCTCAATGTCTATATCAGATCTAATGACCTGGATGGTTGTGAAGCCCTGGGGCAAACACGGTGACTATAGGCTCCTCCATTTTTCCTGCAGAACAAATGAGGGAGGTTTTGTGCTCTTTCCCAAATTTTATTTATTTTTCCTTCACTATGTTTGCTAACTTCCTTCAAGTTCCCATATAAGTTACGGATGTTATCTTGTTAAAATGTGCTTCCAGTGCTGGTGCTAGAAATATATCTACACCTAAATCTTTTTCTCTCCAATTTCTATTGTTGCACTCCATAGTGAAGATTCCTTCCGGTGACCTGTTTCAGTTCCCCGTTTCATTACCATACACTTATTAAGTACGAACATCACCAGTCATGCATCATCCATATCTGTAGATTGTCCAAAGTCCTCCTGAAGCACCCTGCAGTCCTTAGTTTTTTTAGTACTTTCTAATTTGGCTTCATCTGCAAGCAGCAACATATGACCACACTTCCATCCTGGTAGATCATATAGATCAGGAACAGCAACATATCCAAGAGACTAATCCTTGAGGGACACTGCATGTTTAATGTATTTCTTCAGTCCAACCTCTATTGTAACACTTGCAGGAGATTCCTTACTCAATTTAATGTTTTTCCCAGTTCAAAAACTTGCCTCTCCATCATATACACCAGCCTTTTGTGAGGAACCAACCCTTCCTCTGAATAGACAGTACGTTTTAATATTAAATGTAGCAAGTACATTCTTCCGGGTAGATGGGACTCGTTAGCCTGGGAAGGCAGCTCATCTAGGGTCAGGAAAAACCCCGATTCTTAACCTCCGCTGCCTTGCGGCCATACCCCTATTTTGGGAAAGGCTTCAGGAGTCGACCTCGAGGAAAAAGCAGGAGTTGGAGCCCCTAAGGCAGTTCGTTGTCAATTTCGACCTCGCTCTGGCAGCTCTTGCGACGGTGCTGGAACCATGTGTATTGGCATTTGCCTTTCCATTGGATAATTTCAGCAACATGGAGAGGGGCGACCTGCTGCATGGGTAACAGCTTCTCCATATCAATCTACCCAGGCTTTGTGCTTTGGAGAGCAACCAGAGCACAACTCCATAGTCTGCAGACTGAAGGAAGCCTGCTACATTCCTATCTACATAGTACATACATACACTTAATTGTTCTGTTATATTTATCTTCCCATATATTCTCCTAATTTTGTGCTAATACACTCCAGATTTTTTGGGTGAAGTTTTCGTGTTCAATTCTATATACACAAGTTTTAAATATAAAGACTTTTTCAGTTTTATTAAACAGAGCTTTTATACAAAAATTTGAAAATATCATTTGTTACTTTATAATTTATTGAAAGACTTAAGCTTTGTTTTATTAGTTTTATAAAATTGTAATATCAATATAGCTATAGGTAAAGTACTAATTGTAATTAAGAAGCAATAAATGCTATTTACACGCTTGTCCTCCTTCACTCCCAAGGTAAGATTAAGTCGTGGTGTTCTATATAGCTTTTCAGGTAAACTAATACAGTATTCACAATATTTTGGTGCGATGCTGGCGAGTAGTGTATTTATGTACTATGCCAATAGGATTGTACTTATTACATTTAGCATTAAAATGTACTGTCTATTCGGAGGATGGGCTGGAAGAACACTACCAAATACTTTGAAACAATTTAGGAAAATGCAGTCTAGAGCACCCTCCTATCGTACAACTATTATCACACGGGGAGGGCAGGGAATGGAGGGCAGACGGGGAGAGCAGACTGGGAGGCAGGACAGGACGAGAAGGGCAGATGGGGAGGCAGAGCAGGGCAAGGGAAGAACTATACCGCTAGTTTGTGTATGTGCCCACCTCATTCTAACCTCACTGCAGGCTTTCAGTAAGATGGAATAGATTATCAGTTTCAATTTAACAATTACCAATACATATTCAAGATGCACCAAATAATAAAAATGAAATAGCAAACAGTTTATGAATAAAGAATAATGTACTAGTATTGCACATTTGATGTACAATATTAACAGAACAAGTGTTGACTGGATTGAAGCTAGTTGCGTCCTGCGACGTCAGGCCAGACCAACCGTGTGCTGGACACACATCTTCACTCACCCGACACCACCTGTCTTCCATGACAACCACCGACACCATTGTCATCCTTCAAACCCTTCTCCATGGATACATTGGAAAGTAAAATAAAACTGGACAGTTGTTCACACTTTGGTGGATCATGGATGGTAAGAGCCACCATCTGACTGCCTCAGTGACAGCTTGGATGAACAATCCTTGCTAATCGAATATTTGTATGTTCCACTGAACATCTTTTACCAAATACAATTTGCTTGGACAAACCAGGAATTTGAGCAAGGATGCACTGTATTAATTATATCCACATTTGTTACAATAAATGAGGAATGGTTAGATGTTTACATTGTATACTCTGCTACATCTTGATATAATGCATAGACAGCATTTTATACTGCACTAGAGTATGGTGAAGGGTCAGACCACAAAAATGTTAATACTTCAAGTGCTGTACAGTGCTTTACATTACAAGGCAATTTGGCAAACTGATAAAATCTTCATAATTAAAACTTTATGTAGTTTATTTTTTGGGGGGATACCAGCAAGACCATTCTAACATTCAGATTGCTGACATTCTAATATTTACCCTTTAAATAATGGAAATGAGAACCAAAAGAAGCTTCAGTGTTTATTATAATACTGCTTCCATGTGTGCCATAGGAACTTGCAAGCATACATGCATGTTGCACCAGGTGTACTACATATGTAGTCACCCTTAAAGTCTAAACATTTACTATGTACAAGCATATTTACAGAGCCACTGCAACATGTCAGTTTGGCCATGGTTACAGAACTTTGTACATTAGTGATAGAATTTGACATATCAAGCTGATGAATGACTGGCATGAACAAGTATATGAACTAAATGAGAATGTATGATAAATTCAAGCTGGCAAGTACAAAAATTAATACTTATATTTTACAACTGGATTTTGAATCGCTACATTCCTAGTTGTCCGCAGAACCTCAAAGAATCGCCACAAAGCACACATCTTAAGCAAGAAAACCTATGTTTCATCGTTTACACTGCTTAATATTTACTTCGACGACTCGAGGCATAACTACTGCAAAAAATTTCGACCATTATAATATTTACAAAGACTTCAAATTATGCTCAAGACAATACAAACTAATATCCTCAAATACCTGTTAAAATATAAACGAGGACAAATACAAGTTAGCCGAGCCAATATTTTTCTGCACTGATGTGCTGTCGGCACAGTAACCCTCACAGCTCAGTTAGCGTCCAACTAACTAGAGCCAGAGCATTACTTTCCATATAAGCTGTCACATACAAAAAGTGAGGTGGGTGATGAGAGTATTAATAATAATAATAATAATAATAATAATAAAAAAAGGGGGGGAGAGGGGTATTAATTGATATTTTCTTGAAAGAGGAAAGTTATCACAGCTTATTACCACCGAGGGAGGGTAATAACAGAACTTTATTCAAATTTTAGTTGTAGTCAACTTGTAATGATGAAATTCTGTCATTCAACAATGCTGCAGTATTATCTTTTGTACTGGATACAGCACGTGTATCTTGCTTTCCTGTATCAAGACCTTCATACAGTCGGAAAATTTTAGTTGCCTTTTCTGTATAATAAAAAAAACAGACTAGACAATTTCCTTATTTGACTTTTACAAATCAATTCTCTAGGAAAATTAAATAATTGCAGAACTGCCAATAAGATCCAACCTTTTGTTGTAATATGAAATAGCATTAAGACATTTACTAATGTAAACTGTAACAAAGTAAATAGAATGACAAAAGGCACTTTTCACCCTTAGAAAAGTTCAATTAAGCCAAACTTTTATATACTGTATATCTGTGTGTACTTACTTTTATTATATATTATATATGCAGTATATAGTTGAAATTTTTTTGTTTTTTTATCGAGGATAAAAAAATATTATATAAAGTTTCCCAAGGCCGCATTAATCTCAAAGTCAATCTTCTTAATGCTAGCACATTCGAGCAACCACACAGAGTATGGTAAAGCACATGGAGGTTCACAATCCAAGACTAAATATAACTTAAGTCTCAAAATGACAGTAGATAGAAGTAACGTAGTTATAAACCGTCTGCCAATTTGGACGTTCCGATGTAATCATATCATTGACATCCTGCAAAAAAAAATTTCATGTAGTACAGTAATAATTTGTATATTATTAAATATTTAATAAATTGAAGTAGAAACTGTCTGAGAACTTTACACATAAAACATATATTACAAGTACTGTACTTAATTACCCAAGAGTAGTTATAGGATGAGGGCGACCTTTCTACAACTTACCAGTAAATTAGGTATTCCCACAGATTCAGCAGCTGATATAGCAACTTGAAAATTTTGTCTCTTGTTTTGGGGTGAAAGATATTTGTAGTTTATTTTTTCTGACAAATAGGTATCCAAGATGGCACAAAGGGCAAGGCCATCATTCCAACTGGAGCTGAAGTTGGTAATATCAACGTTGTTGTAGCCCAAGGTCTTGCTCTGACACCATTTGAGCAAAGCATTTCTCTTTGATCCTCCACTTTGTGCTAGGGAAGCCAAAGGATCTTTCTTATCAACAACAGCACTAATCTGAAAATGATAAACAGTAACCTCATAACCTTGGCAATGCAGTAAAGTAAATTTGAAAGTATTATGCAGTATTACTGTATAAAGAATTCCACAAGGGCTGTGACGAGGATTCGAACCTGCGTCCGGAAGCATCCCAGACACTGCCTTAATCGACTGAGCTACAACAGGGTAAAAGACGCAGGTTTGAATCCTCGTCACGGCCCTTGTGGATTTGTTCATTTGATGCATCAGTGTGATCTCTGTGTAATTACTGTATATTTTCAAATCTAACTGTAGTACATAAAGAAGGCTTACCTGTCCATAACTATTGCGTCTCATGGTATGGTCAATCTTATTGCTCAAGATTGAAATAGGCTTCGAGACATTATCACCAGAACCAAGAGAAGAAATTTTGCCAGAGTTTTTATCACTTAGTTGCGACATCTTGACATTGTCAGAGAGATTAGAAGAGCCCGGACCCGGTTTCGAGAAGGTAGATTGAGTGATTGACGACTGACTGATGCCATCCGTGAAGGAATTGCGCTGGATAGCTCTTAGAGGCGAGGATACTGATGATGTTCCAAGAGTATTTCCAGCATCCTTCAATGGTGAGGATGAACCACCACGTATTACAGTCTAGAAAAATATATACCAACTTTTAGAAATTAACTAATACAGTATTGTGCATTTTAAATTTTGTTGAGGTAAGTAAATGTATAAATAAAATAACATTAATTCTGATTTATTTCACTAGTTGTGTTTGTCAGTCCATGAAAGCATGGTACTGTACAATAATTTAAAATTAAATTGTGGTATGTAACACACACACTTGTAATCTACAGTTCAATTTTCTTTTTAATGTAACCAACTTAATTTTTAGATAGTTTATAATCTTAGCATGTCAAACACAGTTCTGATTAGAAATCTATAAAAGTGCAAAGCAAATTGGTGAAAGCTTCTCTACTCAAACGCTCAGATTACCCAAGAGTAAATATTAGAATATTGTAGCTTCTCCAAATACTGAACCATGACTTGGGACAATCTGAACACCATTGAGGTTTCAAGGGTTTGAACACTACCAGTGCTGTACTGAAGTTCAAAATATCTACTAAGCCATTTGAGGTCTGAAACTTGTAGTGGACACTGTGTGGAGTCCTAGATTATACTGGCAAAACTTGTGTCTGCCCGTTTTCAATTTCATCCGTACTCTGGCACAGAAAATGGAGTGTGGGAATTTCAGGGGATATTAGACTTTTTGCGAGCCATGATCAACAGCTTGTAACAGTGTATTACTGGTTTATTACAGTGTACAGCAGTGCTTGTCTATCAGTGAATACAGTAAGTAATTAGTCTCCATTTACTGCCTGCCACCTACTTTTTAATACCTGGTGCATATTTTAAATATCCCATTATTCAAACTACAGTATTTAATTTGCTTTTGCAGTTGTGGACTGAGGTGGCCTTCACAATTTCTTCCAGTGCATTCCACTTGCTGACTGCCCTTACGACACTAGTACAGTACTTGCATTTCTTCTTACAATACAATACAGTACTGTATTTCTTCTATAGGGTAGCATATAGTGTGTTCAAGTTATACCTGTGTCGGCCATTGTGAGGTAGGAACAACGGGTTGGTATTCCTGTGGTCTCCACAACCAGTTATTAACCATTTAATGTATTTAGTGTCTTAATTCTCTTTGTTTACCTTTCTAATTCGTTCCTTTACAAGTGTTAACTCTGGAACATTAGTATTTTTATTAGTACTTCATATATCACCAATTGGCAAACGACTAGGGAACAGATTTTAAATACAGTATACCCTTCAGTGAATGTGGATGTTCTCCCCAATTCTGGCAATTCTATAATCTTCCTAGATGCACTACTCTCCCTACTTTGTAGAGGATCCCAATTACTTATCATATATCTCATCAATTCTTGACTTTTATATCATTATCATACTTTATTACATAAAAAGAACTTCTCCGTGCAGTTTCAAATGTAGATATGATAGCCTAATAGTCTCCAGAATTTATACACAGATTGATTGATAATCAAGAGGCGGGACCTAAAAGCTGAAGTTCAACCCCCCGCAAGCACAACTAGGCGAGTGTATCCCTAAAACTATTCAAATCTCATCCCACCCTCATGTTGACTTCAAGTACACCAGATAATTGTGTTATGTTTTCATTGCAACAAACATATCACTAAATTGACAAAGGATAAATGGAATAAAAGGGAGCAGTGGAGGGGTGAAGCACAACACAGATGCCTTGTCAGCAGGATGCATGACAACTCTTAAAAGGCTGCACAAAGGGCAAAATTAGGGAATTAAATGGTTGAGTTAGATGACCAGCATCTTCAAAGGGGATAGAGAAATACAGTAACATGGAAAGATGGCAGAAGATTTGGCTGAAGCTGATATGGTGACAGCCTCCTGCTATTGCTACTCCACAATGAGAAGCCTCAATGAGGTAGTAAGTGTTAGAACCATAGTGCAGGCATAACATGGTTGATCAATGAAGTATATTTAACATGTATCAAATTTTCTGCAGTACAATTTTTTTTCTGGGCTGATGTTCCCCATTCCCCATAAAAGTAATGAAGCAAAGGAATGACAACATGTAACTGTATAAGATGGATTCAATATTTATTAAACACTTACCTCTGTATCGGCTCTCTTCAGGATCGGAGCAGTTGTCTTGTTATTAATATTGCTTTCACTACTGGTACTGCAGAGACTTGATGTGGAAGAACTCCGAGAACCTGCACGCGTCTGCCTAGTTGCACTTTCAATTGATTCTGTTCGAGGAAGAAACTTTATTAGTAACTACTGTAATGTGAATACTGTAGTGGATCTTATTTTACAAAGTCATTCAAGAAAATAAGCAAATATTACTCATTTTACATTTTTGCAGAAAACCTAGCTATCAACAATTTAAGCCTTATTTTAAATGTCTACCAATTCCTATTTGTCATATTTTAGATGGCAATATTCAAAATACAGTACTGTATTAGCATTATAGGAAATTTGACCATTTTTTCTGCTTTTTGGCACTATGGAAGCTTTAAAAAACTATACAAAATTTAATAATATTTGAGTATGTACATCTTCACCAAATTCAATTGGGCAAATTAGGACTGGACCTACTCCAGTTTCACCAGTGTCTGTTCAGTGTGTTTTGCTTACCAAACCAAATTACTCCTTGCAAACCTCTATATATATATATATACATATGCTTATGTACGTATCTAGAAGGTACGGCATTAAATATAAAGACGAGGATTTTACACACTCGTTCCTGAACCTGTACCATCAACTATAAACTAAAATTTACAAATATTTTCCAAAGCTAAATATTTGATAGTTTAGCAACCACAAACATTATCGTTACATATCCAAAGACTATGGATTAAGTTAGCAAAACCTAGTTATATACCCGATTGCTACCAAACTGGTTATATTAATTGTTATGGGTCTCGTGTATTTCAGTGGAACCTTGCTATGACAAAACATATTTGAGTCTAGTCTTCCAAACTCTAGTCTAATGAGATTCTTCAGACGAGTCCTAGTGTTAGTTGCACCTGTAATTGTGCTCAAACGATATTTAAACAACTACAATATGGAGAAAAAAACTATTTAACAGTATTACCTCTACCTTTGCCTTCTAACCGCTCAATACCTAAGGGATATTCTACAATAACTATTTAGGTTATGATCCAAGAGGTGTCACAACAACTGCAGTATTTTATAAGACCATTTTCAAAATTACATCTCTGCCTTCTAGAACTATAAACCACACTCATAAGGGCCTGCAAGTTTCATGCTTTCATATTCCACAGCCATTATACACAAAACTATTGTACCACCCAACATCTTTAACAAATACCTTGTTTCTTAAATAACATCTGTGGAGACACCGCATCTCTATTTCCCTTTTTATGGTCTCCAGACTCTGCACCAATTGGCCTCTTTCCCTTTACTGCAAACAAAGTATATAAAAAAAAAATATCCTAATAGATAAATTATAAATGTCCTTTCATAAGCAATGCTATTTACTTTAGCCAAGGATAGCAGCTTCAAGCAAATCTAAAGCACACATGTACAAACATGTGATGGGGAGCCACACACCACAACACCCTTTCATAATGGTAGAACCAAGTACCATAAAGCGGTTAAAACGTCAAATTAAAATCAAGTGTCAAAAGATACTTTTTTTTTTTTTTGCACCATCAATGTGCGAAAGGGGAAAAGAACGAAACCGGTTTGTATACACTTAGTTTAAAATAAGGATACAGGTATAGAGAGCTTTATTAGGGAACTCATGCACAGGGTAAATGCTCACCGATAAGAGATTTAACTCTTGAATCTCCACGTGACAGGGGGCGAGGGTTACGGCGGTCAGCAAGGATGTTAGGGTCCCCATTAGGCAGGGATGCGGGTACTGCACGTACAGTGCGGCGCTCGCTGCTACCATTGTTCAAGGTGGTATTACTGCTATTACTCACTGGGCTGCACACTTTCACAGCTGTGTAACACAAAAGACTAAATAATGAACTAAGGAAATAGGTTATTCTTATTACCGAATATATTGCTTTACAAAGCATTATAGCTTACAAAGTAAAATGCTCCTAAAAGTTTGGATACTGCTCACCTTGGTACCCAAGAGCCAAAATTGCAATAGGAAATCTTGCAGAATTTTATTGTGTTAATATCCAACCCATCCTCTGTTTGGATTATATGTACTTTAACAATGTGGACCATCGTATATATATTCGTGTAATGTGCAATAAGTACAATTTGTTACTACCGAATTTGGACACGCCTGAAAGTTTGGCATCTATATTAATAAAACATATTCCTAGACCTAATACACGCAAAGGACTAATATAATACATAAATGGGCTATACTAGGCCAAGGAATATTTAAGTTAGAGTCCAGAAAAAATAAACCCAAAACCAAAATGAATACAGTAGTACCAAGTTCTATATAATTGTTCATTACATCAATATACGTACGATGGTCCACAGTTAATAAAAGTACAGTACAGTACTATCTGAACAGGAGGAAGTGTTTTAATATTGTAAAACGTGAGCAATACTGTACAACAAAACTACCCAAAGAGATATTATGTAACCACAAGAGATCTATTCAGGAGAGTAATCAAATCAGGTCATCTCCAGATAAAAGGAGGTGTAATGTGCAAAGTGGTAGTATTGTGGCATCTGTAGAATGTTTAACTTTTTAATGCTTTATCAAATCTATCAGATATGACATGCATGCATGTATACAGCTTCACGAGGATAAGTGCGTTCATTGACATTTGAGTTGATAGCATCCCCCCCCCCCCAACCTGTAGAGGCTATGCAAGTCAAATTATGGAAGGGGTATTGCGGGAGGAGCGAGAGGAAAGGGGGGAGAGGGGGATATGGAAGGAGGCCAATTCCATGGAGGCACGGGTAGAGAATAGGCAGAAAGTGGTTAGAAAATTACAATCACCATACTTAATTATAATAACCTTTATTAGGCATGTTGAGGGGTTGAACCTGTGTGCTGGGTGTTCCCAGATGAACACACTAGTCGACTGCACCACGACATGGCAAAGAATTGCAACCTGGGGTACTACTGCACCCACAAGGATCCCGAGGCTTCCACTAAAGCCGAAACAGTTTCACACAATTCCCCCTCATGTATTCTGGCTCTCGTCTAGTAGTTCTACTTCTGATGCCCCTCTTTCAATATACAAATCAAATGGGTTTTCACATGGGAAATCACAGTGCATGGGGATAATTTTGCAAATCTACGTTTTGGCTTCAGTGGAAGCAGCGGGGATCCTCATGGGTGCAGTAGTACCCCAGGTTGCAGCTCTTTACCATGTCGTGGCGCAGTCGACTAGAGCGTGCATCTGGGAACACCCAGCATATAGGATCAAACCATCACGGCTCCTGTGGAATTGTTCATCGATATATAACAATGATATATCTGTATTTAATATATATTCCTTGTACAAGTAAACAATCTCAAGGCAATATATTTAGTCCACCAGATGCTTTAATTGCTTACTCTAAAAGCAGGAAAATATTCAAATATGTTTTGGTATATACTAGTGCAAAACAATGTATTGCCACTTTGTAACATCCTTGGTAATGGGGTTTTACCTTGAGCAAACATGTCCAACTTCGGTGGAAGTTCTCTCTCCACTAAATATTCCTCTAGAGTTTAGCCCTGGTAACAAATCCAGTGAACAATAAGCAAATATTGACTTTACTCTCCTTTTGATGCCTTTTAGTGAAGATTAGTGGCATCCAACACCACTTTTTTAATGGAATTCCTTCAGAACCAGCCCCTTAATGTTCTGTCTGGGGTCACACTGTCCCAAGATTAAAAAGCATTTTAGTGGTCTGTTTGAAAGAATTAAAGGAACTGGTTACCGAATTAAACAATCGTGAAGTTTTAATGCATCTTTATGAGGATAATTTATATTCTGTGAAATGCACTAAAGATGATCTCTACTTAAAACTTTTCTACGATTTAGCCAATTTTATGAGCTGGTAGAAACTTATATGTTCTTACAAATATAATTTAAAGTCTGGGATAGCATTGGAGGCCTTCACGGTGCCATTCCTACAAATTTATTTTCAGTAGCGTCAATGTTTCATTTTTATAGTTTAACCAAATATAATTATTTAAACAAGTCTCCAGCTGACATCCTTTTTGATGCTTTTGAAAACTAGAATTTAAAATTCATACTTAGAATTTAGAAGAAAAAATTTTGTCCTTTTAACAGTATTCACTAGTTTAATAGCTTTCCCTAACAGCACATAGAATACATTTTGTCAAGGGAACCAGGTTAAAGTTAAGGTCTTATTAAGCTAGAAGAGCACTGAATATGATTTTCAACAGTAAAGTGTATACCAATGACCGGTAAAGTGTATACCGGTAAAGTGTACCAATGACAGAATCGCTCCTAAATTGTGCCATTTATCATTTGTATATTAATTAACACTTTTGCCCGGGCATGACGCAGCATTGCGTCATCCGTTTACTGTCGGTAATACTAGGGATGACGCAGCATTGCGTCATCCACTTTAAATAATCGCCAAAAATCAGGTTTTTATCCAATTTTTTGGGGACTGGTTTTAAAATGTGCGCCGATGTCTTCCCATTTTCTTTGTTGAGCCTCGTGGCCCTCAGGTGGCTTGGCACACGCTGTGGGCCCATTGTTTTCGCTCCACTGTTGTGACCAATGCCGCCTCCCCTCGCATCTCAAACATGTGAACATTTCGGCTATTTTCCGTGGCTATATTTCTTACTGCGGCTTTAGAAACTATCTACGCTTACTCCACGATGGATAGTGATCATGAACAAGGCCCTTCCAGGAAGAAAATTGCGAAAGAAAGGCTTGAAAAGGGAGGGAATTGGGAGTGTAGCTGGAAGGCGTCCGAGCGCTCACTTGCGGCCAACGCGTGGCCCGTCTTCAACTCGTCGGCGGTTGGAGCGTGACCAGGTTTTTTATTTTATATGCTAATGTTCCTCTAGAGAATTCTATTGCAAACCCATTGAGACCAAAATGAAAGACCTAGGACAAAAATTGAGGTGACCAGAGTGAAAATGGTGAAAACATTTTATTGCGTTTGCGTGCTCCTGGGTAACTCGTTCGCACTTTCTCTGTTTGCTGCGGGTAATTAGCCGGGCTTTTGGAGTTTATATGCATTTAGTGCTGTAGAGAATTCTATTGCGAACACAATGATACCAAATTTAATCTCGTAGGACGAGAATTAAGGTGACAAAGTTGGAGAGTATACACTTTTCAGAATTTACGCGCGCTCCCGTGACACCCTGGGTCCCATATCGCACAGTTGAGGGGTGGCGCGCGGGGTACGCCAAAATGTTAATGTACAGTAGCCTATCCGAATGTAGTAGTGCCAACTTTTAAGCCGTTTCAAATATGGTAAAGATGAAGGGGTTCATTGCATTCCTTTTAGTTTAAGTGATATGTAAAAAGAAACTTAAGGTTGAACGAGTAGAAAAAAACTGTAGAATAAAGACTTATAAACTAATCAAAATAATAATGCAGGACATTCCAGTTTAATTGTGGAGGGAAGAAAACAGAGGAAGAGGAAACTTTTAGATGTATGTTAAGAACTTTATAAAGCTCAGATTTAGGTCATCAGCTTCTGCCTCCACCTGGAGCACAATTGCCAATACCTGAATTTTCAAATTGTCGAAACTAACGTTTTTGTAGAAAGGAAATCATTAGCGTATGAAAGCTGACACTTGTTCAGGGAATAATTTAGTAGCCAGAACAGAAGCATGTAAACATTTTATCTGAATGAAGCCAAATATATATGGAGCAGCAGTTTGATTATATCTTTATTATATCTTGAGTGAGTATATATTGATAATATGCAATTCACTGACAATGTTTAATAAAGGTGTAACTGCACAGTTTTAATACGATAATTATCCAGTTATCCGTTTTTTAACAATTTGAAACATTAATAAAAAAAACTGATGTGCACATTCAGTTAGCACAGATTTTGAAAAATTTAGAAAAATTCCTTTAAATTTGTTGAAGCACTTCAGAAGTAAAGTACCTTCCCAGATTAAGGACAACATTCGGTAAGGAAAGTAAAAAATATGCAATTATCAGTGTTATTATTATAAAATCTGCCTATACAGTATATTTTCTGAATACTGTATGCACAAATTATGTTCATTAATTTGCTTTAAGAACCTCACCTCCCGAATAAAACTAAAAAAATTAAAAAATCTGAGCATCACCCGATTTTTAAGTCTGGTTTGAAACAAATTACAATAGTTCGAACGTAGTGTGCACTGAATTGGCATGCTAAACTTTCACACTAAGTGTAAACATTCTCACCGAAGTCCAATTGCTCGCCACACATTTATTCGCAGAGAGTAGGAAGAAATTTAGGTTGGCATCTTTGAAAGCAACTTGTCCACCAAGAAAAGTGAAAGCTTTTTCCAATCCTTTGGGTTTTTCCTCACTTTTTAAAAAATTCAGGTATTTAACAACAGCTAAAAATAATGTGAAGGTAAATAAGATTATATTTAACAATAATTGAATTGCATTTGTTAATGTGTAAACAGTTCGTAACCAAGTAAACCCCTTAGAATAATGTAGCATTAATTTTGTTTAACTCTTGAATTAAAAGATTTCGAGCCAAGACATACTAGACTAGCCTAGCCTATACTGCCAATTAAATGACATTCATTAATTTTTTGCAAACTTTGTTCAAAGTTAATGATACTGTTTATGTATTTTCCCTTAGAGGTTGGCAATGGAAAAATACCATCCAGACAGCCCCTTCTATGCAACTTCTTGTACTTTAATTTTGCCTTCTTAATATCTTACGCATGTACTCCTTCACAATCACTATTTTTACTTGTTTTTGTATACAATGCTATAGTCTCATTTGTGGACTCAAAACCGACAGGTTTCCTCTTAATCCAATTTACTACCTTTCACAGATGTGTCCTCGGCCAGCTCTTGGTATCGCCCCCTAGTCCCCCCCCATCATCATCCCTCCATTTATAATTCACAATTTTATTGTGTGCTATTTCTATTTTATCTAGTCCTTTAGCAACTTGCTCAGGCCACAAGTGTGAAGGGGGGAAGGGATAGATTAGCTGGAGAAAGTAAGAATAACCAGTTACCTATACAAACTTCTCTAAGCAACACATCCAAGAATGTGTACACAAAAATCATATTTAATCATTAAGCTTGAGCAACTAATAGCAAGCATGTAGGAGGGAAAATGAGCAATGGCCAAGAAGCATAGTACCATGCCAAGATGTGTATGTAAATAAATTTGGTTATTATTCATCAAAAATAACTATAGCAATTTGAAACAAATTAGGGAATATAATTTTTCAAGCTAAAATAGCACAATACTGGTAAAACCTAACAGTGAGCCATCTTTAAAATAAACCTTATAATACAAAATCCCTACCCTTGGCTTTTTCAAGGTCCTGTCCTAGCTGCTTAAGCCTATCCCTGAGCATGGCATTTTCTTGAGTCAAGCGTTCCAAATCGTGCTGCGCTTCCGTCTTGAAGTCATTTGCTACACGAACTGTCATCAACAAGTCACTTTGGAACTGCTCCCATTCCTCCACCTTTAAAAACAAAATAAATTATACTTTGCTAGATTGATAAAGTCAGTTATATTTACTAAGCTACATTAAGTAAAACAATTATCCAGTTGTAATTCTCTACCCTCGGAAAGAAAAGGGAAAAGATGATAATGTTTATTTCAGGAATATATTCAGTTCCATCACTAAGGATAAAATCAATGTTAATGGAGATGGTTGCAATAAACATTTAGGTATATCATGATGATAATTAACTTTAATACAACTATCTTATTTGATGCAACACAAGATGACTTGACCACTAGCATGTTCCTTCCATTTCTGGAACAAGTTTGTACACATGCTATTTTCCACACATTAATTCTCTGCAAAGCTTTATGATAGGTTATAATTTATGATTTAGACATCAACCATTTAGTGTGTAGGGTTATTAAAAAAACAAAGTATGCAAAACTTTACCTGCCTGCTAACAAAGTCCCTAATTTACCAACAAATGCACTTCACACCTGCTTGTTAAAATGTGCCTTTTCCTCGTTGATACAGCGATCCTTCTCCGACAACTTTTCATTTGCCTCATTTAATTTTTTCTGAGCTTCAGACAGGTTTGCTTTAAGATCTCTCTTATCTTCAAGATGATGTTGACATGCCAGTTTAAGATCTTCAACCGTTGCTCTTAACACGTCCATCTCTTCTTGTAGATGCCTCTGCTCCTCTTCTAACCGAGTCTTTTTCCAGTCAGCATCTTCCAGTTGACTCCGGGCATTATTACGGGCCACCTGTAGTTTGGTTATAACATTGTTCAACAAAGAAAAGTATCCACTCAATTTTCTATACCAATTTATGCAAAATATACCATTATATAATTCACAAACTGAGATTGTATAGATTTTTTTTTAAATTAGCTAGGTTTCTGGTCAATTTCAACTTTATTTCAGTTAATCACATGAAATCAGGAGATATTGTGAAATTTATGAAAAGATAATTATTTTTATCTAGTACATTCACTAAATAAGCATGTAAATATTAGGGCCCAAAAAAGTCTTATTATGAATACTGCAGTACATTGTGCAAACATTTTAGGTTGCAAAAATGAGCAATCTCCAGGTAATTAATAGTAGTAATAAAAAATAATAAAAAATGCCACTAATGATATTGTACCATTTCTCACCAGTGTAGTGTATACTGCTACAGGAAAAACAGAAAGGCATCTTCATGTTCTCCAATTTGAAGGCTCACCTTCCTGGTGAGCCTTATATTAACTAGGATTTTTTTGCATTATTATTGTTGTAAAATAGTAGTATAGGAAAGCCCCTAGTCAAATGAGCACCCTTTAAGTTATGCTGCACCATGCACTTAATGTGATACACCACTAATACCACTCCTGTTTACTAGTGCACTAGAAGGATATTAAAGTATTCTTTGAAAGCACTAGGAATTCACAATGTGGTATATGGAGTGAATCTAGCATTCACCAGGATGCTGGTTCAATCCCCACTCTGCTCTAACAATTTTCTCCTTTTTTTTTAAAGCCTTAATTACACTAGTTGTGCATTATTGTAAATACATTTATAAAGTAAAATCTGCATAAGTTTCATAAACAGCACTATCAAACAAAAGGATGGTATGTATGAGCAAGAGAAACTCGAGTAAGTGGTACAGAACAGAACCAGTGATTCATAATGAAAAAGTCGCCATTATTGTGAAGAACTTTAGAGATGCATGGTAAACTGTATTTGGCTTCGCTTCTACCAGAAATTATTTTGCTCAATTCACTCATCAATTTAGGTTATATTTTCCTTTTTTAAAGAACTTTCGGTATATTATTATATTACATTTGTGTTGGCAGTCTTTACCAGTCTACCTCTACCCCCTCCCCCCTATCACACAAATCTCCAATGCAGACCATTCAGGAAGTACATGCAATTTGCACACTTCATACATGTACAACCAACTTGATATTAAATTTCAGTGCAAAAAAATTTCCACTAATCCAAATCCTAATTATCCAATCTCTCACAATGAGGACGGACTATGAATTACCAGGAGGCTAATTCCACTTCAATATTTGCTAGTCCATACCATCCTTGTCCTACAATGGCATCATTTCTACTGCTGTCCACTCAACTGGCACGTGCTTTCTTGCTGTTCAATAAATCTAATGCCATCACCTGTGTCTTTTCAATCTTCAGTTGCCCATCCACCTGTGGGGTCTCCAATATTACCCTTATTATTGCTAGTTTTGCTTGGCCTTAATTGTAACTTTCAACCACTTCCTACCAGCACTATACCTGCAGAGGGAGAGAACTTAAGCAACTTTATGTAGGATCCTGCTGTAATTACCATTATTTCATCCTGAAGCGAGGAAATTTGATCTTTGAGCCTTTCATTCTCGCAAGCCATTGCATTGGCTTTCTGCTGATGTGACGCATTTTCTTTTTCTAGAGCATCCTTCTCTTGTCTTACTCTCTCCAGTACATCAGGTAGTTTACTCTTCTCTCCAGAGATAACAGCTGCCTCTAGCTCTGTTATCTGTAAAAAAAAAAAAAAGTGTGTAAAGTCCATTTCAGTTCCAAGAAAGTTATGGAAAGGGAGAGGCACAGGGAATTTAACTTACCGAATATATAAAATTGCGCATCTATTGACAATAGGAACAAGTGCATCGTGATATTTGTTATGCAATATAGTAGGCTAATGCAAATGTAAAATATTGCAAGCTTAAATGAATATTCTTGGTAAACAGAAACATCAGTATCAAAATCCTAAGAGAAAACGGGTAGTCAATACTAACAAATCTATGTAATGGAAGTGTGCTATGTATTTAATTCATGTGTTAGCAGAGATATCCTAAATTACGAGAAACTGTGTTGCAAGACCACACTTAAAAGAAATAAAAGTCCTTTTAAGTAAAAACCATGGAGGCAGTGATTAAATCATGAAAATTAAGTACTGTACATCACCCTTCAGCATTAACAAGATACTGGCTGAGGGCAACTGCTGTGATCTCTCTTGTTGTGCAATACTTAAGATGGTAGTAATCCTCAACCTTAAAGGAAAGTGAATGCCCCTATTCTTTGACCAATCTTCCAGATGAGCAAGTCCCTGAACATCCAGGATGTCTGGCATTTTCCTATCCACCCAAGTTTCACGCACTGGTTGGTGTTCTGAACAATTTTGCACCACCACCTGCACCCGGGCAATCATTTTCAGCCTGAATCTGGCTCCAGGTGTTTTTCACTTCTCACCGGGTAACTTCAGGAGACGACTGCCCATTTATTCTGGACTAAACTACTAAAATACCTTGTCTTTTGCAGTGTCTAAGGCAGTCTGCAGTCTTGTAGTTTCAATCTCTGTGGCTTTAGTGGTCTCTAAGGCCTCTGTTAACTGGCTTTCAGCCGCCTTCTTTTCACTATTAGCAGCCTCAAGCATAGACTCCAAAAGCTTCATCCTGAAAATTAAGAATAAAGTAATTTAGTACATTTTTTCTTTATAGCATGAAAGTTCTTCAGACAGTTAATTAAAAACTATCAAAGAATTTATTAATTCACTTTAAACTGAATAGCACTATAAATATCTACCATTACTAGATTAACAGTAAATGCATCAAAATATTACATTTTAAAACTTGTTTCCTAACCTTACCTATCTCTTATTAGTTGCGAGTCACGATGATAGCGTTCCTCCGCTTCTTTAGTGGTAGCAAGCTGCTGTTCCACTTCTTCCTGCTTCATTTGCAACAACTCCCGGTCTTCTTGTGCACTCTATCAACATACAAGTTAAGCTAGTTACATTTGAAACACAAAATTGAGGAGCAATTCATGTTTTGGTTACTAGTGTACATCTTGGAGATGATCATTCAAGAAAAATACTCCCACTGTATTAATCTCAGGAATTTAGGAAGAGAACATTACAAGTATAAAAATTTTCCGAAATATCAGTAAAGCACACCCAATTGCTACATGGTACTAGACCTAACACTACATTTTTCCATGATCTGCATTTTATTCCAATATCAAGAGTATTATCAAAACTCGCTGACAGTTTTAAAATTTGTTATTATGAATTTTCTGGCTGAAGCCAAGATCTAACATTTCTTTGACATTTTCCTCTACTTTATGCACCACAAAAAAAAAAAAAAAAAAAAAAAAAAAAAAAAAAAAAAAAAAAAAAAAAAAAAAAAAAAAAAAAAAAAAAAAAAAAAAAAAAAAAAAAAAAAAAAAAAAAATTCCATGGAGACCTTAACTAAAACTACTGTACTAGTAAAATGACTAAACGCTAATTATTCAATTTAATAAATTTTGACCAACAGAATTTTGCACGAAGTTTCGAAATAATCAAAAACTTTGCAACTATGCACAAAATTTACCTTGAGCAGCTCCATAAGTCGTTGAGTCTTCTCACACTGAGATAAATCCTGACTATTTTCGGACTGTTGGATCAGCATATGTTTGAGCGTGTCATTGTGTGACCGGGCTTCATTTAGCTTCTCCGTTTGTTGAGTCAGAGATTCCAAAATAACCTGCAAATAAAAACGATTGGTTAAACTATCACAAGGTAACACTTTACTCTTTACTATCTGTTCCACCTTTATACACAGTATGGTAATATTTACCAATTAAAGTATACAGTGTCACAGTATTTAAATGTATTTATTGCCTCCAAATCATTAAAGCCATTTTAAATTAATTCTTTCGATACAGTACAGTACTTCAACACCAAACAGCATCAAACTTTGCAACACACTTTTTATAATGAAATTTAGGCCCATGGTTAAGCAATTTAATCAAAAGAATTCAACACTACAGATCATATTAATTATTGAAGGCGAGGGAGACCAAGCTTCAATTTTCGGATATAACCTACATCCTTTCTCAAGGTACTGTATACAATACTGTACCTTGAGAAGGTATTATGCAGACATTATATTGTGATTCTATGTTGAGATATTGTAATTATGCTGCTGATGGCAGCATAATCACAATGACATCTAATGATGGCCACCAAGGGAAGTGCTCTGTCATATTTATAAATGCAAGCTCTTAGAATCTTTCAGAACATTGTATACCTACCTTGAGAGAGGAGATAGGTTACATCCAAAAAATTTAGTTTTTAATACATTTAAACAAATTCGGTCTTTCCTTCACCTTCGTTCAAGCACTGCAGCATTGTAAGTTTGTTAACTTTGTCATCAAAAGGTGACAAATGAATGTAATAAATTCTCATACTGTACCTGCTTTTCCTCTTGTAGTTGCTGCACTTCCAAGTGACTCTCGGAAAGTTGCTCTCTCAGGTCATCCAGCTCCTGTAAGGTTGCTTGCAGCTCCTCGTTGGTGCTAAATAAGATTGGCTATTTTAATGAATGCAATAGCCAATAGGCTCCACAAATTCCCAAAACTGAATAGTGAACGGTATAATGGTTAAGGTGACTAGTCATTACATTCTAGCTCCAGTAATTTAAACTATTTACAATTTAGTTTATCACAAACATAAATTGACATCACATTCACACTAGTTAATTTCATTAAGAATTACCAATAATGAGTTTCTTCCATCTGCTGAATGCGGTCTTGCAGGCACGCCACCGACATCTCCGACACGCTCGAAGTGGATTTGTTGTCCCATTCTCCCTGCTCTGCACACAAGGCTGGACCTTCACCACCATTCTACAATAAATATTAAACCATGATGCAAGACCAAAAGGTGTACAGTTTAAAATTCCATTTGTAATTTAATGCATATTAAAGCTTCGTTTAACAGTGCAAAAAAAAAAAAAAAAAGTGCTCTACTATTAGACAACACAGTCATCCAACCTGCAACGGAACAAAAGGTTCCCCATTTTCATAAATTAACGAGAAAGCCACTACGGGCTAGCGAGTCATTAAGCAATCGGCAGGGGTATGGAACAGGCCCTGGGGGACATTACTAATTCTCAAAAACCTATCTTTTTTTTTTCCATGTAGAAGAAACCTAGCCATGTATGACATTTTGCCCAATTCCCACTACCTCAATATTAAGGAAAATTTACAAATCTACACACACACACAAAGCTGAAAAATAACTATGGCAAGATTGAAGTATAGGTGCTGTATAGGTGTATAGTCAAAGGAAAAGGCAAACAAATGAAATGCAAGTGGAAAAAAAAGTCAAATTCTTAATTACTGGCAGTAATCAAAAGGAAAATGTACAGTAAATCCCAAAACAAAGATTTATATATTTATGATTTACACACGGTATTCACACTAATGTGAATTCATCAATAAGAAAATCCGTTGGAGCCGTGATGAGGGTTCAAACTTACAAGGTGGGTCCCCCTCCCCCCCCCCCCACACGCTCTAGCGAGTAGACCATGACGTGGTATTATACCATGTCGAATCTCGTCACTAGAGCGTGTGAACACCCACCGGATAGGTTCCAACCCTCACCACAGCTCCTACGGATTTTCTCCGATTTATTATATGATAAGCAAAACTGACAGGTCAACACACCAAGTCCTGTATTGTTAAAATTTACACTTTTACAGTGCTGTACAAGCATAAACTACCTACAGTAATTTAAGCTTGCTGGATAAACAATCCTCAACTTACCCATTCCTATTTTTTATTCCATTCTGCACATTTTAATATTTTCCTATCTTCTCCAGATTGACATGTAATCAGTTACATTTACTGTATTACTAATTTTACTAGTTCTGCCCTGTCATTTGCGACTGCAATACCCAGTTCCAATACCATATTTAAGAGAACCGTATCACCAGTAGGTAGCAAGATACAAATTTTATTGCATTGTTGGTTCTAATACAAAATATTAAAAATGGCAGTACAGCACTATGTCTAGCAGTAAAAATGATGCATGTGGCAAGCATACAGGGAACACGGGTCACACTGCTTTTGCTGTTTTTGGGGGTGTAACTATGTACAGTATATGTGCTGTACTGGAACCAAGTGCACAGATACATTATGTTACTACAGTACTATGCATAACTATTTGTGTACTACAGTTACATGGTGTATCTAAATAGCAGTTACCTACAGACCAGTATTGTATGCACTCTGTAGCATAATCTTAAAATAGTTTTTTTTTTTTTTTTTTTTTTTTTTTTTAGATTGAAGTGTATAATACTTTAGTAAAACCGTCAACACTAACATTTACCACAGCATAACTGCCAAGACTTTCAAGTTGTGAAGCTGGCAAATTGCTATTTTTGCTTACTCCTGCTACTAGCTTCCTGAAACTGTCTTTAGACAAGCGTCGCCGGAGTTTTAGCTTTGATGCCATTGGTAAAATGTCAATGTTTCTAAGTACTGTATTTCAATGTAAATGAAGGCTTTGATCCGTTTGCTTCATCTTTCTCTTCACACAACTCGGCTGTGAAAGCTGTAGCACAATGAGATGCCACCACCACTACTGATCCACAATAGTACTATGCTACCCCTCTAGAGCAGGGTACGAGATAAGGGCACCTTCTCCATAATCTTATCTCTGCCTATCAGACAAATCCAGATTTATCATACTAGCCATTATATCCCTGCTCCTTTAAGACATATCAGAAGTACAGAGCAATCCACCAAACTTTACTTTTAAATTCAACACATTCCATACACTCATTCACTCAAAATACTGTGTGGAAAAAATTCTACAAAATACTTTGTAGTTCGTCCCTATTGACCTTCCTTGTGCTATTATTTTTAAACACCAAGCAAGTGAATATTAATGCCCATTGTTCAAATGGCTTATGGTATTGTAGAAACAATGAAAACTTAGCTCGGACAGCATCTTCATGCACCAATTCAAAAGAACATTAAACAAACCTGCGACACCGAGCAGACCTTTGTGAGGAGTATTTCTTTCTCTTGGTCAGAGAGTGGGGCAGAGTCTAAGGACACCCCCAGTTGCAAGAGCCGCTCTCTTAGTAGCTTATTCTCCGCAGCGAGGGTCTGCATGGTGTTTCTCACGTTGGCAGGCAGCTCGTGGGTGGTGGTGGTGGTTGGGGCAGAAGGGTGGCCTGTGGCAACAGTACAAGTACCACCCTCCATGGCACCCTTGATGTTTTCTTCGTCACTCAAGTGTTCACGCTCTCTTGCAGACTCCTGCAGTGCATGGGAAAAAATAGCATTATTCACTGCAGCTTTAACATGTATAACTTACAGTATAAGTTGACCCATATTGATTTGCATCACACAATCTTGTTTGGATGTTGGAAGGAAGAGTAATTAGAAATTGCAAATTGTTTGGAGAAAATTTGTTTCACTACTTTCAGCTGTGAAAATTGGCAAGTGGGTTGAATGTAGATGAGAGATTCAAGCCTATCAGATGACTTCACATCACTGTGCTGTATACGAGTTCATGTGAAAGGGAAGCCCATTATATGATTAAAAGCTTTTCAATTGGAGAAGGTGTAATTTTTAAAAATTACTACAAGCTAAGTAACTCAATTTTTTAAATTCCTTGAACAGGATTTTTAAGATGGCCACACAATGACATCGTTTAATCCACTATGAACTTATGAAGTTAAAACATAAGTTAAATTATAGAAACACATACCCACATCAAGATGGAAAATTTTTTTTAGCATTGCTAATCTTAACTGGGTACCACTGAGACTACCATGATTCTCACCTAATAGTTAGGCACATTTCTAAATTTTGGAGCATCGATGTTTAGATCAAATTGCAGCATGATGCTATCAAGGCTTTACATCCTGATCACACTATCATACTTTCCTCCAGGTAACATCTATTATCTCCCCCAGATGGAGAACTCCCCCACCACAATGAACCATCTCTACTTTTCATATTGCTTTTATAATTGAACTCTAGTCCAGCTTGGGGACAATCATCTTAACAGCCCGTCCTCCAAACAAAGACCCAAAAGTGACTCCATGCACCCGCCAAACCCCGTTTATGAAGGAAAAACGGTTTACACACAACTGATTTTGTTATAACACTTCCGGAACAAGTGCTTCGGACGAATTTTGTTCGAGCCACAACGCTGTAAATGCTTTACCCACATACTTCAAATACAAATAATCGCCAACAGAACCTAAACACCTAACCTATGCTTATATATGCACAATATGCCATTATAATATTAATTAACATTTCATTAAATTCCTGTTTTGAATGAGCAGCACGTACAAATTTACGAATGCATCTGTGGGGTCGACCGCTGGATGTAATGGACTCGAGTTGAGGAGGGTTTATCTTAACAGTCGACCCACCACTGACCATGCATTGGACAAGACTCCCCTCGCCCCCCAGGGGTCGTACCTGGAGTGGGATCTTAGAGGTCTTTTACTCCAAACCCGGCATAAGGCCAAAGTTTACTTGTAATAACTTGGCCCATCAGACTTGCTTGTCATTGCCCACAGGCCCACTTACTGTATCTACTATAACCTGGCTGGTTCAACACTTTTTCAGGATTTTTTTTTTTTTTTTTTTTTTTTTTTTTTTTTTTTTTTTTTTTAAGCCCACTATTGTTCCAGCCATATTTATTATGCTTGCTGGAAGGATATTCAACAGGTGTGGACCTCTGATGCTCATAGCGTGTTCTCTGCTGTGCCAATGCAGCCTCACTCCTCAATGGCTATTCTCCATTTCCTACCACATCCTTTTACTCCAGGTTTGTTTTTGTGGAAATTTGAACATACTGGAAGGCCATGTTCCAATGTATATATTGGAAACTTCTCCTTTCCAAGAGTACATTTTAAAAGCTTTAAAACAGTCCTAATAATTTAACATGTTTTATTGTGCCCATGCGTGTCGTACAAGAGCATTACACTTTAATGCCCTCTTTCAGCCATATCTCCTCCTCTGAAAAGGGAACCCGAGTATCTAGCAGCACATTACAAGGTGGGACACCATAACCGATTTTAGTATGAGCACTGATGGAATCCCTGGATTTGAAAGCTCTCATAATCCATCCTAACACTTTCCTGGCTGCTGCTGCTATATTTGCTTTGATATGTTCACTGAATCTCAGGTCGTCAGAGATGATTCCCAGATCTTTTACGTGTTACATGCACTGGACAACTGGGTATCAATGACTACAGATAAGTGACCAAGCAAATGTATCTATTGACATACTACCAAGAACATAACCCAAGGTAATAAACTACAAAAATAAATGAACTTTTTAAATTATACAAAAGGGGCATGCTAATGCCCCCACCCCTGCAACCTGCACACAGCAGGCCGTTTACCAAGCCACATCCATCTGTGTTTTGCCTTAATTAACATCCTGGTTGTTTTCCCCAAGTTCAATACCTTAACCTACCCTAGCACTACACATCTTGTTGCAGCTCATCATCATCTCAATGCAGAGACCTTACTTCAAACCACACCATCTATACTACTAGAACATTAAATGTCACCATTCACACATTACTGTACTATCACGTGAAGCTCAAACTTCCGTAGTATCTCGTGACACCACTGTATCCTTTGAAAGAAGTGTTCCAATTCTCAGTTTCCTTGTCCTCATGCATCAACCTCTAGATGGTTTCGGCCCCCTGGAGGACACTTACACTATCATAACTTCTGATCACATTCAATAGTACTCTTACTTCAAAAGTACAAAATACGATAATTATGTATAAATTGTGGATGCTACCAAACTGACCATTATATCTGAAAATGTCTGCCACAAACATTCCTGTTAGGCCTACACCACAGAGACTGGGAGCTTTTACACCATAATGATCTTTCCCTGTGTCACCAATCTTAGCAATTTAAAAACAACAAAGCAAGCAATTAAATTTCTTTATTATGCACCCCATACCCATCCCTTGGGCGGTGGAGGAGTTACTTAAACGGTTACATTATTTTCAGTCGTTGTGCGTGTCTTTGCTGTTGTAAAGTTAGCATATGGAAACAAAAAATTATGGGGAAGTAATGTTTCACCCGATTCAGGCTGAAAAATGTTATGAATTCATCACCCGCCTGGTATAGTTGGCAGTGTTATCTATGCCAGACAAAATAGCACAGTATTTAAAGTACTACTACTAGTTGCTCTACTAATCTGTGCGAGTCGTGAGTTGACTATGTACCACCGCTAAGCAGATCATCACTTTGCATACTTGCACCTGCTCGGGAATTTCAACAAGGTAGTAAGACGGGTAACGCTTCACAATCGTCTTACAGTATTTGGTACGGACCCGGACATGGGGGGGGGGGTAAGGAGACAATCCATATTACTTTTCAACAGCGAGCCCAGTTTCTTGGCTAATAATAGGTCTCCAATTACAGTAGAAGCAACCTGGAACCAAACAACCCATCATTCTGTTTTGATTATACTTTTTGGAACTATGTAGTCGATCATACCAATATGCACGAAGGAGCCCAAGTAAGCCACTGTTTTTCTAGAGTATAAAAAAATAGTACAAAGCTAAAAACCCAGCCAATATTTGTATGTCTAGTAGAGCACATGTGTGCACTATAATAGGCGTGACAGCATGAATTGGGCCTAGGACCGCTAGGATAGACTATTTGCCACAATTACAGTAACTTTCCCAGTTTGGCCAAACTGAATAGTACAAATCTACTTTCTGCTGGTTCATCATGACATAGTAAAGATATGTTCGAAAGTACAAGTAGGTACTTTCATTTTTAGGATGGGCTGGATAAAGTCTACATATGGCAGACAATTCAAGGAGCCGAACACTAAATACAGTACTATACTTTTTTCAGCAATTTAATAAAATGTGCGTTGTCCCGTCCCCTGTGAACTCCAGCTATGCTTAGAAAACCCTATTTATGCCAAGATATGACCAGGGGGTTTGACAATCGAGGACCAGCTAAGTTCTAGTTGGGTAACTTTCCCCCTCGTTACACTGGTGTCCGGCTTGGTGGTACCCATAAACATTCCCAACTCTTTCAGTTAACATGTTAAAATTTCATTAAATCTGGTATACATTGCTTGTTCAGTCTTATGCTTCATTAAATTATTATTTATGACTGAAAATTATAGCCAAGATTCTTTTTTATTGCAACAAGAAATTGAATTAACTGCTTTTACTTTTACACGATTTGCATGTTTTTGTAGATTCAGCTACTGGTAAGTTGGAACAAAAGGTTGCTAGTAGCACGGTCTATGGTGAACCCGTAGTGGTCTTGCCTGGCACAGGAGCGGGGCAGTAACTTGTGGATTTGCACGTTGTTTTAGATTTAGCTACTCATAATGAAGTGTCCATGTAGCACGGGCTATGGCGAGCCCGTGGATTTGCACGTTTAGAACACTAAAGTTATACGAAGGGGTGAGGTTAACAAGTTATACTAACAGGTGAGGTTAAGGGTGAGGTTCTCTCGTTAGCAGGAAGGCTAACTAGAGAATAAGTGTAGGGTGGATGGAGATTCACAACTAACGTAACCGACGTAGGCTCGACCATGAACGCCCAAGGATCAATCATCTAACTTCAGAACCTTGGCACTATTTTCTTAACCATCCTTCTTGCTACCACGGAACTAAGGAAGCAAACTATCAGGAGAAGGATGATCAAGATTCGCTACTTGGAACAAAAAGTTCCAAGCAGCAGGGGCTATGGTGAGCCCGTTGTGCATTTACCTGGCACAGGAGCAGGGCTGTAAGATCGGGAGAAGCCGACTATATAGCCCTTAGAAGGGGTCAGGATAAGGATTTGGGATTGGACGGGGTGGGAGGCCAACCACTTTGACGGTTGGAAATTGAACACCGACCTGTGTGAAGCGAGAAGTTGCCCTAGGTCTATAGCCTAGCATTTTGCGCGACTACACGTGCAAAATACTAGTCTATTATAAAGTGGCTTTGAACAGTTAAGCGTTAATCAAAGGCAATCGGCTGTTGCCAACCGCGAAGACCTAGAAGGATGGGCAGAGTGCCAGCGAAGGCTCAAAGCTATCACATGAAAGAGCAAAGGCAACCAGTCAAATGGTTGTACAAATAACACACCCCCCTCCCCCCGACATCCCTCACCCCTAGGTCAAGGATATCTGGTCAAGGGGAAAACGTGTCTAAGGTGGGCAGTTTCCCTCATCGCTCAAGTGTTATCCAAGTTGAAGTATACCAAATTTAACATGTTCATAGGCGATTCCTAATCTTTAAAATGGTCAAAATT